AGCTGTTTTTCTTTATTGGATTTTCCTCACGCAGTCTGTGCAGGACAATAAGGCTGCGATTTTGTATGTACCGATTGACAAAACTAGTTTGCGTCTTGATCAGCTACATTCTGGTGGAAAGTGGTGCTTCAGCTTGAGTAATGAATTATGTATGTATATGAGAAAGTCAGTGTAAAATTCAAGGATACAGTAGTAACAGCAGGATCTTATTGTGTACTTGAGGGTTAGTGAAGAAATATCGTTAGCCTATCCACCAGATTCCGATACAATACACAAAACCAATATCCGTATAAAGTCAAATTATTGGGAAAGTTTTGCTTTCTATGCGCGTCGACTAAATAAATGCAATTTCGGTGCAGTCTTAGATTGCAAAAGAAGCATCCATTTATTTCAACCCGGCGAAAAAAAACAAAGTGCTCCTTCGACTTAAATATACGCTTCGGTGAGCTCGTAATTCGCGTTCTTTTGCCAATAATAAGAGAAAGTGCAAGGAAAATCTATCTCAATCAGGACTGCAATCACGGCCAATTGATTGAAAACATCGTTTGAGTCGAATTTTTGGATCGACGCTGAAATTATAGGAGAGACGACACGGGCTTATCTCCGTCTCAGTTGATTCAAAAATAAATATTATTTTCTCGACGAAAACAACAACCCAGTAATTTATCTAACTTATCTACGTAGCTGAACTGCTTACCTAACGATAAGCTTGAAATGAATCATTCGTCTTTGCAAATACAGTTTGAACAAAAGCTTTCCGCACAGATTTCAATTTATCATTTGGTCCAATCGTCCTACGCAAAGAGTGAGATTGCAGAGCACTAAATTAGGATAATTTCCTAATAAAATGTTTTCCTAATTGGGTGCGATTTTCCATTCGACTTATTGATGCTGCTTGATGGTGGTGGGAGGAAATGAGGTCTCAAATTATAGGCGAGGAAATGAGCATCTCTAATTACTGGATGGAAACGTTAATGGAGGAAAGTTTGACATCTTTGTGCTAAAAGACGACGACGTTCAAAATAGGTGCATTATTTCGTGTACTTTTGCCCTCGAAATTGTATCCAAGACGAAGCAGAAGGATGCTGGTGGGTGGGGCTGGCGAACAGTGGCCGCGGAAGCGTGGGGACAGGGGAACAATGTCCCCACGGTTGTTCGATGTCCCCATCATCTCCCCATGTTATATAAACCCCTCCCTTCCTTATTCTACAATGTTAATGTCCCCACAGCTTCCGCGGCCACTGCTGGCGGATACAATGCGAAATAGTGGTGGTGGGATGGCCAGCACGAAAGCTTCTCGTTATTAGGTAGGTGTCACAAGAGAGTCATCCCCGCTAACCAGCCTGATCCTTTCGCTTCTCTTAAAGTAAGCGAATAAGTAAGTGGAGTAATCCGTGGTTCGTATAAAATAGTAGGTTGCCACTTCAGGGCATCTGCTGAAAGTATATAGTTTCTTAGTCAAATAAGTAAGTCTCCTCTTTTATGTACTTCTTCTCGGTGAAAGTCTTTGTTTTCGTGGGTTGTACAGACTGCGGATGGGTCTGGATTTTATGTGACTTGAATTTGTTGCCCTTAATTTTCCAGATTCACGTAGTTATTTACATAAACATTGTTGTAGGAAACGATACTTGAAGTTGTTTCAAGGTGGGAAAGCTATGTAGCTTTAAATTTTTGGGAAATGCACCTAAAACAGAGCCGTACCGTGAAATTGTCAGGCCTGGTATGAGCTTCGGTGCCGGGCCCTTTCATAATTTCAATATATTCGATATTATGTAATCGTTTTGGTTTCAGAATACAGAATATTCTGGAACGAAGTAGATAATATTCTACGAGTATTAAGGGCCTGGGGGAAGTTGCTTAGAAATCACGTCAACTTTGACGATAAAATTCAGCAATGCACAAGAGGGCAGATTTTTTAAATTATGTTTAATGCGTTAATCATATCTTTAGATTTTACTTGAGTTTTTTTTGACGATCTGCCCTCTTGTGCAGTGGAGATATTTGGTCGTAAAGTGAGGACAAATTGGCTTAGAATTGCCAAATTAATGGCAGGAATTGTATTTTGAGTATCCATGGAACAAAAGAAACAACTTTTTTCAAAAACTTGAGGGACTTGAGGGAAACTTTTTCAAAAGCAGTGACAAAACCAAAGCTTTTGTTCAAAGCTTTTGAACGTGAGTGTCCCATAGAAACGGTGTCAATTAATTGTGGTCGTAACCTAACAGAGCGATAATAATCTAGGGGCCCTGGCAATTATTTGTTGCTAACATAAAATCAAGTAAATCTTCCCCCGGGCCCTTAAGAGTACACTATTTTCCCAGTTCCGTGGGAAAATAGATAGTGACAATTTACTTACTTGCGCTTTTAACTCAGCCATATTTTTTAAAATATCGCCGGGACGGAGAAAATTATATACGTATAAGTTGCATAAATATGCGAATATGATACTTTTCGCTTACTTCGCAACGTTTCCCAAACCCTTTTCGATTGATTACTTTTCTATCCGTTTTAAAAGTTTAAAAAATTCCCAGACTCATTTGGAATTGGCGATAATGCCGGTCCGAAAACTCAATTCTATTTAATGCTTAGAACACGTATTCTTGATTTCTTGAAAGGTACACATTCAAAAACATACAGTATTTTGAAAAGTCAACGTTTTAGCTGAAAATAGCTTTTAAAATTGAACCAAGCGGTAAGAAAAAAATATACAATCGTAAACATTTGGGCCTGAAGCAGTTAGCTTATAGTCTGACTCACAATGCGATGACGCCAGCGGTCTCTCCGATTTTGACGAAACCACAATAATTACACAACCTGAGACACATAATTAAACACGTGTTTCAGCATTTCTATAATGCTCAGCTTAAACTCAATTATGACGGAATCCATGAGCGAGAATTTCCAGTATTTTTACCGCTTACGAACTCTATCATAGTTCCGTTTAAAGTTAAAATGCGTGGACCTGAATTGATTTCTTTGGATTTTGATCTAACCAATTTTAAATAAGTTGCTCACACACTAAAATAACTGAACCCGTAATTTTCGTTTTCCGGTATGTTCGTTTTTCGGTTGTGACAAGTTTTTAATACATTTTCAGCCAAATCAGGATTTTTGAGAAAGCTGTTAATTTTGAATTTTTAACGCTATTTTAAAAATCAAAGAACGTGTTTGCTCAAAATTACTTCCATAAAATTATAAGAACTGTTTTTCGAAGAACTTTTAACGTTCGAAATTTGTATGAAAATATGCTCCAGATCAGAAAATTCGAAAAAATTTAAAGTTTTTGAAATTGAGAATTTCCTTAAACTCAATGTCATGCTTTGCAAAAAATGTTCTTTCATTTTTGCAATAGGGCCCAAATTTAAAAATTTACATAACTTTGAAAAATCCAAATTTGGCTCAAAATGACTTCAAAAATTTTCTCACAGGCAGAAACGGGGTATGCACAAAACTACGTCCTCTTATTTCCTTGTGTATGCAATCTAAATTGGTCGGGTCAAAATTGGAGGAAACCAATCTATGCCCACGCATTTTAAGCTTAAACGAAATTATGTATGATGGTATTCGTAAGCGAGAATCTTTATTTTTCTCCCTCGCAAGAAAATGTAACGGTCAAAATGGAAGTTCTCGCTCACGGATTCCGTTATAATTTCCTTTAAGCTGAGCATTATGAAAAATCCTGAAACACGTATTCTATTATATGTCTAAGGTTGCATAACTATCGAGGTTTCGTCAAAAACGGAGAGAGACCGATGGTGTCATCGCATTGTAAGTTAATGGTCCTAAGTTCATATCCACTTTTATCACTGGGTTTCGTTAAATTTGTCCCCTAGCGAGGCACATTTGAGTTTCCAAAAAGCATCTTTGCTTTTTTCACATTGAATTTTTGAAGTTCGCATTTTCGGTTCCAACAAATTAAGAATGTACCAACACTTTACAATTTCCCAAAATCCCACAAAATATAATAGCAATATGGCAACTTTTGACAAATTTTGGTGTCAGGTAATTTACATATTTCAAAATTGTAACGAAACATTCGTAGGCGTGATGTGATCCTCTCCGATTTTTACCCCGTAAATTTTAAAATTCCTCAAGCACAGAAATAAGTCGATCCACACTTTTAGGTTTTCTTTAAGTGTGCTAATTTCCCTTTTAACTGAATTTCTAAATTGCGTTTCAGCTAAAATCAGGATTTTTCATATTATTTGAAATTCGAAAGTAAAACTATTAAAATTAAAGGTGACACAGTATGTTTGCTCTAAATTCATACAAGCATAATTACACATGAAAAACAAATAAATCTAGCAGTTTCATGTTAGATGTAAGAAAATTTTTTTGCGTGGAATATTTTTTTGTAAAATCGTCAATACCCAAAAAAGTCCATTATATCTAGTGAAAAGCTAGTGACCTGGCCCGGGCCCTTGCGGGCCCCGGGCCTGGTATTTGGTACCACCATATACCACGGTTGGTACGGTACTGACCTAAAATAATAATGACTTGAGATAAGGACCATCCTGCCCACGCACGCAGTATGCACGACAGTTTCCTAATTGCGTGTTTGCAGTAAAATAAGAGAATTATGCAGGCTTGATACTTTATGCCAACATGAGACCCATTTTGTCAAATGGTGTATGTACATAAGCTCAACGGCACATAGTTTGTGCGGCTCATCTTTGCAAAATTCTTGTCGTTATCTGTACACTGCGTACATATGCAACTACGCAGCTCTGTGCCATTCATGACAAATCCGATTTATGCATAACATGCAATTAAAACCGTAATTATGCATATATTGTCCATGGAAGAATCCGGATATGAAATATATGTCAAAGTCAAACTCTGCTAATCTACTTCCAAACGTAAGCTACGTAAATACACAAAAATTTAAGCGTGTTGACATTCATCAAGCAGATATTTACACATATATCAAATCCCAATCAAAACTAATAATACGACCCTTTCATTCACAAATTTACCCTGATTATAGGAAATTTACTTACTTGAGCTATCATATAAAATAGTGTTGAGCTCTTTAAAACAGGAAAGAGTGGCCGTTTGACCGACCGGAGTTTCCGGCCAGCACAGAATCCCATCCCAACCACCAAAGCAAACCGTGGCGTTTCCACCCACGTCATGATTCGTCAACAGGTCAAGATTCAGGTCCAGATTCGCATCTCCAACCGAGTCCGTTGTGGAATGATGAAGTAAGGATGAGAGAGAATCATTGTGCTGTTGTCCATACGCTAGACTGCTTAAGTCAGCATCGAGATCATTACTATCCTGCAGGTGATATGAGTCATTCACGACGGAATGGAGATTATCCTTATTACTATTACTGTTCGTAATCTGATTAATGTACTCGTCTAGCGTGAGACCATATATACGACACACATTAATTCTTAATGCCTTGTCTGCCTCCGCATCGGACACAGTGGTGATTATCTCCGGACTGAAGCTGTGGTTCGCTACGGCGGTGGTACTCGTGGCGGCGGTCGACGTGGCGGTGGTGGGGAAAGTAGGATAACTTTCGTCAGGACTAAAACTATAAGTCAGGTTGGCCATTTTGGCGGTGGGTGGCTGTTTTTTGTGGGATGATTAGTATCTCTGCAAGAAAAAAGAAGGATGTATTCGTTTGGTGAAAGTATGTAAGTGATGAAATTAATGAGTTTTATTTTCATAGTTTAATTGCACAGACGTTATCGTATCACATAAATTTTATGTACATAGGAAAAAGCTGACTACAAAGGAGCCAAATTTTTTATAAATTCCTGACTTTATCAAAAAAACTCGCAAAAAAGCGAAGAAATTACGGGAAAGTCAAAAACCGTGAAATTATTCCTACGTGACTTCGACACAATAACGATGCTGATGCCCTACGTCAACTCCAACATACAACTCTTTTTCGCTAATGTAAATTCGATGAGAAATGTTTACAATAAATTTCAAGGTTCAAGGCAACAATTCCTTACACAATAATAATACGTGCTCATCACAACTGTCATTTGTATATGTTCTCATTAATCCTTGAAAATAGACGTTGAATCTGATTTTCGAGGGTACAAAGGAGGAGATTAAAGTGAAAAGCATGAACCATTCGTTGTTTGATTCGTTCCCAAATTCATTTTGGTTGGAGCACAATCAACAGAACCAGCCATATTATGGGTGAAAGCGTAATTACTTTTTGGTGGTAGCAGCAGTGGTCCTCTGCTGTCCACTAGTTATCCGCTTTGCTCCTGCCAACTGTCATTCTCATGCTTGGGTAATTCCGACTTAAACCACGCAAGCCTAAATCCAATAAGTATGCTCAATTCTGAAACCTGGTCCCCGAACGGACAATCTCACTCAACTGGACGGGCAAATCTAGTTTCTTCATCGATAATGATAAAGAAAGATAGAAAAGAAGATTGGGACTTGTTACTGCAGAATTTATTTCGTAGTCCACAAGGAAATGAAATTGTATCCCTGCTTCATTTCCTGCTATAATCAACGTATCGGTGAAAGCAGTCAGTCCTGTGGAATGGGATGCACCATGTGTACGAGAAATACGAGGCCAGATTAAAGTACAGTCGACCCAATCCTACACGCGTGAAATGTCTCGAAAACAAAATTGACACCTAAACTAGCAAGCTATAGAGAAACGTAGTAGTAAAAATGGCAACACTGACAAATTACTTGCCAGAAGAAGGATATCATTCGCCTTTTTGCCGTCTGGTTTCAAGTATCAAGTCCTTCATCCCATCGTGATTCAAGATTCATTCACTTGCTTTTATCTATCCTGGTTTGTGGTGAAAGTTGTTTTCACCACGTGGACAAAATTGCGCTTGGTCTTGCTTTCTGATGTCAATTTTTTTCAGCTCTTTGGAGCTTATTGGAACCACAATATAGAGCCAATCTTATTGTGCCACATGTTGAAGTAAAGTCTGTCTTAACTTCTCCAAGACTTAATTCCACACCAGCAGCACCTCACTAATTTTGGGCAATCATCACTGACAAATGAAGGGATTGAATTAATCCTTTGCTCAGGGCGGGTGAAATTCATGGGTTTCTATGTATTTCGACACTGCTCAATCCACTATGAGTTAGGTAACTCTGACTTTGCTGTTTGCACTTAAAACAGTGCATAAATTGTTAAAGTATTCGAAAACAAAGTTGGGAGAAAGTCACCTCCAACATGGACTACGCACCGTGTGTGGGAGTTGTTGACTTTTAGGCATTTCCATCAAGTTCAAGGTTATACAGGCACACTGATTGTAATGTAAAGACGAGTTTGATTGCAAATTTTCGATCAAAACGCTTTTTTACATACTTGCCAAAGTTCAACGATCAAGACAAACTTGGAATATTGATGCTTCCAAAGTTTCCGGATAGGCCAACATTGTTTAACAAAATGGTCATGCATTTGACCTTGAATTGCATGATTTCATTACATTATTCCATCATTTACATTCTTTATCTACCACGAAATGACGCGGGATGGGGAACGAAAAGTAAATGAAGTGACGGAATGTGACGTGAAGATGAGCGTGACATGCATAAAAGTAAAAGTCTTCTCGAATTAAGTGGTGTTGACTGTGTCGTTGGGCTCAAGGAAGCTTTCGTGATTTTTTCTAGGGATAAAATATATTGACACGAGGAAACATATGGCTTCTTCACATCCTCCTCAAAATTTCTTGCTCAAAATATAAATTTATTATTTCTGAAAGGTTCCACAACCGAGCAAAATTTTTGACAAAACATTATCGGTGAACGGACAGAATTCGGAATTTGAACAGAACTGAGGAATGAATTTGAATAATGACATTTTTCACTTATTCTTAGCCGCTCAAGTACACGTTGAGCTTTAAAGGAATGGAATGCTTTTTTAATCCTCTTATATGGATACGCGGCATTTGAGATAATTTAATGAAGGGTAATTTGCCATGAGTGAAGAGGTCTTGTGGAGATTTTCATGGGGAGAAAAAGCAATATAATTTATATGCCTCTGCATCAAAAGGGCTTTAAGCATGCACAATTACGTTCCAAGCAGGTTTTTCACCTTTCACCGCACATCGTATAATATCCCATCAGAAAAAGAAGATGCTAAAATAAATATTGACACCCAAACACGGCGTATTCATCGCATATTGTCAACAAGTTTAAATTGTTTATCGCCTTTGAGCATGAGGTGTTTTTGAAGGTGAAAGCCCTGGAAATTAGAGAAGAAAACTGCCATCCATAAATTTCCAGCTCAATTTTATCTCAAGATTAAAGTCTCCCCTTTCCATCCAAGAGACAATATCGCCCCAAATCTGTCAACCCAGAGTGAAATCATATTTTCGGATTTTATTCTAAAATCTCGAACTTTCCTGCTTGACAGAGTTTAAGAGGAGAAAAAGGGGAATAAATACGAGTGTCTGCTCGAGGGATGGTGGAGTGAAGGACTAAATATAAATATTTATTCCGAAACTACATCGCATTACTCAGGGGGTAATATTGCATGATATATTTAAATATGTAAGAAAGAAGTTGATGGCTTGAAGCACTATTGTGTCAACGAGGACTAAGAGACGACGACGACTCAAAGTCCAAATACTTGCTTTTTTCCGTGCAAATAATGTCAGACCAAATGGTGTACTCAGTTACGTTTACATATTTCATTGTCATTTCAGTGTGCAAAAAAAAGTTTCTTCGATCTGTGCTATTCATATTGTGGAGGTGGTTATTTTAATCCGTATTGTGTAGTAAATAATATGTACTTGACAATTTATGTGTAGCAGAAATGTCACGTATTTTCTAAGTTGTAGGTAGCTGCTCATTTATTTATGAAATTCTACACTTTGTATAAGCACTCATTTGTGGAAAAAATATTCAGCCAGCTTACATGGAAAGTAAACATGCAGAAAAACACTTTGACCATGTTATCATTCAAAGCTGTCACCGGTTTAATCCTCATTTTAGCTGAGGTTCGTGTCTCTCGGTGAGTTTTGGTTTCAACCATGACCTAAACTGTGTCGGAATTTTAGGGAAACAGAAATGAGTCAAACCGACCAAACTGGCAGAAGGAGTAGCAGATGTTTGGTGAGATTGGATTTAGTTTACGACAATTGTAAAGTAAAAGTTTAGATTGGAAGGAAAGAACAAAGATTGCACGGCTAAACTACTTTCTTTCGGTTGAAATCTATGTATGCAACATCACACCAGCCGACATAATATGAAAGAATAAGGTTACAAACCGCGATGCAATACAAAAACATTCTAATTGTCAGTGCTTACCTGTAATAAGAACCTGAACTAATTAATTAGCAACATTTACAAGGAGGGCAGACTCCAGTCTAGACTATATTTGTACTTTCACCATTTGTTGATTTCAATTTTTTTCAGTTTTTTGCTTGTTAAGTTAACAGGTTTTTTGGTTGATCAAAGGCAATTATTGCATAATAAAAGTAAATCAAGACCTTAGAGTGATTTGATCTAATATTGTTCAATAATGTCCGTAAGTAAAAAAAAATCCAAAATTGGCTTCCATGCTAAACATGTTCAGTGGTTTTCATGTTTTACTGTACATAATAATCTAAGGAGCAGAAAAAAAGGATTTTTTTGCCCTCTATTTTGAAAAAAAACTCGTATACATTTCACCGAATCTAGAAGAATTTAAATTCCACGACATAAAAAAACACTTTTGGAAAGGAAACCGAAGTGGAACGTACTACATCAAATAGCCAATTTTATGAGAGGATATATTTGGTCAAGTGGGCAAAACTTAACTTTTCGTGGATTCGGATAATAGTTTACTGTGCTCAGAAATTGCAACATAACAGAACCTCTGCCTTTTTGTGTGATGTACGTATTTATTCAAATTGGTCCTTCACATTGCAACAAGAACACACACTACAGCCCACACATTTGAATGACTTACGTAACGTCATGTTTGCCCAGGTGGGACAGAAAAGGAACAATATCTGAAAAATTCATGATCTTGTTGTCCCAAGAAATGCCAATATCGAACGAATAGAGTCATCTCGGAATCAATTTTTAATGTGAATCCGATCCCACGCTAGAATAACAAATCCTTTAAGAATGTGTTCAATTCCCTGTGCAATTATCATCAATTGTACGTACATACCATTAATCAGACTGATTAACCTTTAAGTGCAGTCTCTCGTACCTACATCTTTTATTCCATAACATTTTACTATCCTAATTTTTTTACACTTTTGCAAGAGAAAGTACAGGAAAAAAGGGATGAAAATCCGAGATACAAAAAAAAATCGGCTAACCTTCAACCTTTCCTGGTTGAATTAAGTAGGAATTTCTGATCACAATCCAATAGGCAAAAATATCCCACATGATCAAACAATAAGACAAGAAATAAGATTGAGTTGAGTTGATGAAAGAAAAATCAGGAAATGTCGAAACCAAATGCTGCCGGACTTATACCAGATATCCATCAAAAATACAATATGACCACCCACAAACTTATCATCTCTCTTCCACAAAATAGAAACCTGCACCATTTCTTCAGGCATAATACATAAGACACATGCACACCCACGCCAATTTACTATCCAACCTCTGCCCTTCTACCACCACGACCACTCGAGTAGTTGTGCACGTGCTTGTAAAATTATTATAAAACGAAAATATGTAGTCCCTCGTGAGAAATTGTATTTTATTCACCCAACCAACAGTGCCAATTATATAATGTACAGCAATTCCCGACGATTTCCTTTCTGACTTCATTGTCCAGAGAGGAGAGAAAGGATATGCCCTCAGAGGCTGCTGGTCTGTCAGTGTCAGCACATTCTATTCTGATCCACATTTCTCTATTATGTTGTGGTTGAAAAAGTACTGCCCTGCAGACTGTACCCTTGACATGTCCGAGTCGAGTTGTATGTGTATATATGCTTCAGAATATCATTACGTGTGTCCAGTGAAGGTCATCCCGACGTATCGTGAACAAACCCAGAGGGCAAGGAAAGTACTGCAATTAGGAAATGTTGCCGACGTGCAGAGAAACTATTATCGCGATTCGTATGATATTCTGATTTTATAAACCGGATAAAATCTCACTTCATGATTTGAATTGAAATGTTGGCATAATTATTAAATTTAAGACATGCCCGTGGACCGCAATCTTTTCGTACAAGGTTATTTTTAACCGACCGATTACCCGTACCTTGAACTTTCTCCGAGAAAGTTTTTTTATGTCGTCCCTTTTCACCACAAAATCTGCATGGTGAAAGAAAGCAAATCTTCACAGTCTAACCAAACCATGAATACTAAACAAGCCAGATTATTGATAGGGAACGCCTTGCCAAAAACTGTCAATCTAAAATCCTTTGAAGAGGAAGACGAAAAAAATGTTGGAAACTGAGAATGTGAATTAGTGAGAACTTGATCTTGAAGATAGTTCAAGAAAGAAAAAAAGTTGGCGGTGCGGTGCGGTTACGGTGAAAGTTAAGTGAAGACATGTTACGTAAAGCAAACACAAGGAAAAATATTCCAGTATGATTCATGAACCATCGCTTTCGCTGAAGTGTCCTTTGTAAACTTTTTGCCAATTCATCTGACAAGTAAACTGCCAAAGTATGAATGAGGAAAATCTTCGGTTCGGTCAGCTTCAAAGGGTCCGTCCTTCAGCTTCTTCTTCTTAAACCCGAGGCACATTTATCTCAAACTTGAAGTAGCAGAAGGGAGACGAGGAGGAGGAAGACGTTCCCGGTTTTAGAACTCTTCTTCTTCTTCGAGGTCAGCGACTGACTTGTTCTCTTTTCTTTGACGAAATTGGCCAAGTGAAAGGAGCTGGATGTGAAATTGAATTAAGTTCACAAAGGAGGAATTAAAAGCACTTTGAAGTCGAGACGGTCGGTCACATACTTTCGAGACGGTTCAAACCAAGATGAGAAGAAAATAGGAGCAGGAAGTATTGTACCAATAATAAGTAGGAACCAACCTGCGAAATTCTTAACTTGCCACGACCAAGAAAGAGAAAGCTAGGTCTCATTTGAAATTGTGCTGTCAATAATGATCCACCTCTACGTTTCGAGATACTTATTTAATTTATTTTAAGAAGACACTTCTAGAAAAGGGGGAACATTTCACTTAAAAATAATCCAATTTCTATTTCATGTACAATGTTACATAAATCGTAAAAGTTTCCTGGTGTCAAATATATTCAGGGGAAGCTAAATAAAGCGTGTCCCTTGTTTCTATTTGCATAAAAAATGGTAGAATTATCATTCTTTACGTATGTAAGTCCTAAATTTGCATTATTAAAAAATATTGCGCAACATTTAAATAATTTATTAGATTCCCGAACACGTAAGATTTATAGGATTAGAGTATTGAGGCCACAAGAAGGGGCAAATATAATTGATGATTACAATGTATTTCCGTACTGCTGCCGTCATTATGATTCAACTTGAACTGCCAACCGATACGAAATACCAGATTGAGAATTCAAGACGGAAAGATTCATCGCTCTCTGGAGACCAGTTTCGACCTGTCACTTATTTTATCCAGTCAACTTGTTGTATAGCGAGGAGAAATAAATGACACTTTTCTTGGCAAAGGTGATTTCAAAGGGGAATGCTTAGAAATTTGTGGGTTGATCAATTAAATAAATTCAAACCACGATGTCGATATGCAGAAGGAAACAACATTGATTTATGTGAACAGGATGACATGAATGCTTAATAAAGTAAAATAATTAGAATGCCAAACGACTCTGTCGTCTCCAAGAATAACATATTGAACAAGGTTTAGCAGCAAGTTTTAAAAAAAGTGATCGTTTAATAAGATCTCTTCACTTTCCGAAGGCATAAAAGCTTTCAGTCTCCTGTCATCTTACGTACCCATATTTTGGACTGATCCCTTTATTCGTCTGTATGCTCACTTTTTTCACTATTCATTCATCTCTCACCTCCATTTATGATAACGTCGATTAGCTTGAAGGGATCGATTTAATTGATAAACGTCCCGCGTGCGTAAGTATATTACGAAAGTGAGATGATAAGTGAATCAGTCCCTTTAATAGTCCTTTATCTCACTCAACAAAGCACTTTGGTGAACCCGTGCTCATCAATCATTTGTGCAGGATGCCAATGAGGTGGCAGTGTCATGCCATGAATCAAAAATCTATCTTTTATCCGACCCGACCAACTGAGAGAGACAAGTCAAGTCGAGAGGAAAGTTGGGAGACAAAAACAGCAAAAAGTGGCGTCTATCGAGTCGGACTATCAGAAATCTTAATCTTAATGTTGTCCTCGTTCGCTTAGGTCCGACCGACCACATCGATCCGTTTTACCCACTAACCGACTCACCTATCTTTGCTTCGCATCACATCGTACTTAATTCGCACGCACTTTGGAAGAAAGCTTTTTTCCATTATGAGACACGGATAAAAGTAGAAAGTACATATTTAATAGTGGGTAAAAGAAGTAGAGAGGGAAGGATTTTGCAAGTTTTGTTATTTACTGAACTAAAAGGTCATTAATGGATAATAAACTTTACCTCAGATTTCTTCACCAGTCTTTTGGAATTGGTAAATTTTCTGCAGGGAAAAGAGAGTCGGGAGGATTTTGGTAATTCATTGTTGATTCACTTAAAGGTTTGGGCACACTTCCAAAGATGTTCTTTAATGCGAGTTGCTTGTGAAAAAAAGAACTATTGAACTTTTGGGCAAAGGTGGATTGAAAGTGGTTTCGAATTTTTCGCACAACAATTAGCAAGTACCGGACCGTGACTATCTTAACCTCGCTGCACTTGTTTCTAATTGTTTGAGCGAAGTATCTCACTCACCAAATTTCTGTCCGATTGCTCATCCCACGAAAATATCTCATCGTACAAAAGTTGAAGGACAATCTTCCCTATCGTCAAAGGCAAACAAATTTTATGTCCTCGAACGGACGTCTTTCACCCGTAAGCTTATGTAGCCGTTCTGCGAATGCATACTAGCAGTGATTCAAGCCGTGTAAAGAACTTTTTCTACATATATGGCATGTCCGCGTCCTAAAACACTTAACAATTTTTACCCATTAAGCAAATATTTTTCGAATTTGTAGACACACGAACGATTGCCTAAAATGTGTGTATGTAGGTCTATAGAATTTGACCATGATGGAGAAGAGATTCGAACAGAAATGAACTGCAAATATTAACATTTACTTGGAACAAACACTCGTACTTATTTATTTACCTCGAATTTTTATAGCAAAATCCTGTTTAAACACTTTCGAGAATCCTCTCCACATTACGACACTTATCTACTTACGTACTTACATACACGATTCGTAGTGGTGATGATTGTTTCAGGCGTATGTACACTTTGTCTGTGTTGGCGTTGGCGCAATTAAAAAGTAACATGTATTAGAAGACAGGTTGGATTAGATTTGATAATCACCATAGGAGGAGCTACCTAGCAAAACCTTGTTAAAGATAGGATAAGACAGGTGCAAGCAAAACTCCTACAACTTGACGATTCTGGCAGCTTGGTTGTTATCAAACAAGTTATTCGCGTCCTATATCCATCCATCACCCATCGAAATAATAGGAAAATATGCTACATTTATTAAATTGTTTCATTGTTCTGTCATCCTAGTGCGCATTTCAGACAGAAATTCTAGCAGGACATCTCTAATGCATTGTTCTACTCCAAAATATTTGATAAACACTCGTACTCGCTCTCTTTCTCTCTTTACTTTCATTGTCCGAATGTCCAACAGATATTATTTTCCCCAGATTTCAACCACAATTAGGGAACAAAAAGTAATTATTAGAACGGGGACGGGGATCGATATGATTGACAACGTAACAAAACATCTCTCTCAGTCTCATGAAGAAAACAAAACATTCTGGAGGATTCGTATCTTCTTTCGATGTGGTCAATTCTCAGTAACGCGTTTTTAGTATCGTCACGTGTGTAGGTGACATGAGGGCACTGTTTTATTTACGTCTTATCCATTCGTTTGTAGGTCAATCATAACATCGTAGGTGGGATCATGTGATCAGAATCCGTACCAAATTAAGAAATTGACTCTTTCCAGGAAACTGGCGATCTTGTTGGGTCGTGAGCTAGATGAAAATTACGATATAAAATAACCTTTGCCGTTTACAACTGGAAAAATTGTTCCATTTTAAGGGCCAAAATAAATGAAAAATACAGCTTTCACTCTCATGTGCACATTTTTAGAAGTTCGAAAAAAACTTGGCATTTCTCTCGAATTGAGAGAAACATACCATCAAGGTGACAAATCCACCCAGTGAAGACGGATGGAATCCTAATCCAAAAAGAACCGGTTCTTTTTTCCTATTTGTATGTTAATTTCCCTTGATCTGTTACAATGTTGCATGGATGAAGAAGTCAACAGAGAGAAGAACTACACACCGTGGAAGAAGCCGTGATGATATGATGATGAAGACGATGACAAGAAAAGCCATACGGGGACAAGCCGCTGAATGAAAGATGATTTGGTTGGATTTTGTTCTTTTCTTCTGAAGAGAGAAAGTCAAACTCCTTTTTTCACCGAAAAGTAATTAGAGGGAAAAGCCTGACCGGAATTTCTGAAGCTGCTTATTGACAAAGAAGGAACGAACCTTATAGTTTATCCTAATCCTATTCAACCAAATTTGACAAATAAATAGGATTGAGGCGAATTATTGCCTGTATACGTCGTGAATGATGGGTTAAAGTCATTCTTCTCATCTTAGATTGCGACCTGCTGCTTGTAAGTCAGTGTGCAATTCCAACTTCATCTTCAGATATTACGTGGCTGTGCAACCATCCGGAAAAAAGTTTTAACTAAAAGAAGCCAGAGTCTTTTCGGGTATTCATCTAGCCCCAAAGTTTGTCAAACACGTGCCCCTCTAGTTTCCACAAAATTAAACGCCAATCAGATTAAACAGTAAGAAAATCGTGCTTTGATCGATGCAAAATAATTATTTCAAGATTATGTTATACATGGAACAGATGAGACCTGTTGTTCCAATCCAATGAGAATATGGCACCACAACCCCACAACATTTTGGTGGTAAACTCCTGACAGAGAAAGTTGTGTAGCGCACTTTGTCCATTAGCCACAAAATTACATCACTTCAACTTTCTCCTTAACTGTCACTCTCAACTTGATTATCCAGGATGATGCTAGTATAAAATTGAGATGAGGTGAAAGCACCTCCAAAACCAATGTTCACGACCCAAATTAAACCTCGCTCATCCACCCACACAGCCACCTACTACACACACACATAAGTAAGTTGACATTATTGATCAATGGATCAGATCATTCTTCACGGGCTTCATGGTTGGTGGTAAATGCTTCGCTAAATGGCATACACTTTGCAAAGTGTAGTACAATAAAGATTCCATCTTCTCCTTCTCTTTCCCAAAAAAAGGCCGTTTCCTCAATTTACAGTCAGTGCATGCTAATGGCTCTCAATTTTTCCCTCCGTATTGCAAATTGCACCATTAAAATCCTGCTAATTTGCCATTTCCCACCAACTCTTAAGCACACGTTCTGTTTTAAAGAGGCGAGTAAATAAAGTAAAAGAAGAAAATTACGCTTAATAATTTCCACATAACTTGTCGTTCCTATTCCTAACCCGCCCAAGCTATAGGAGAACAGTATTTGATTTATGAATAGAAAGATTAACATGTTTTTAGTGCCACCCATCCATCACCACATTGCTAAGTGCATTCTGGATTTTGACGAGCTTCCTTTGCTTTGCTTTTGCTTTTGGAAAAGCGATAGCGTGGCAGAAATGGTTTTGGCTTTATTTTGCTACTATGTGCTACTAAATACTATGTGGGTTTTACGGGTTGGGTGATGTTTCTGTTGGTAAAGAAAGATTTGGCAGAGCAACAAATGTGGATGAGCAGTGGCTGAAAAGTGGTCTGTATGTTTGTGGCATGGCATTCTGTTGGTGCATCGCATCAAATTTTATTTTATGAGAGCTCAGATGTGTCTTTCACCATGCAGTGCAAAACTGACTCGTATTCGCAGTTCGCATAGCCAATGTCACTCACAGTGTTCGCAAATTCAATGTTATTACTTAGCCATGATTCATCCATCGGAAAGGAACCTGGCAAGGGAAAGTATATGACCTTTTCACCTCATCCACTCCGACAATGTCATTTCCAGAAGACACCAACTACCTATAAAATCTTGTCAATATGTCGTGTAATGATCTGACATAACTTTACATCTGCTCTTACTTTAGGTTTAATTTGAGTCGATATATTTCATCAAAAATCTCCACAGTTTAAGTATGTACACAAGTTAGTTATTTATTCTTGGAGTCATTTTGTTTGTGGTGATTTTCATGAAAAATTCTACAGAATGTTTCCAACTTTTCGCGTCTGGCGCTGTTATGTGATGCAACGGTCACAGGTCACAAATTGAAAGTGGGGAAAAGCTCCAGCTGGAAGTGGTATCAGATGTGCTCGTATAAAGGGATGAAGTAATAAAGTGAGATGTGAATAGCTATGTATGTCTGCAAATGTTCATCCTTATGTCGGCCAAGCCAAGTCACCCGCATAAAAATACATAGGTGTGCATTCCAAAAAGTAAGATTTGCCATTTACATTGCTTTGGTTGGACGGATCACTCACAAAGACACCGATTCACATTCACCTTAATTCTGAAGCAGGAAATGAAATAAAATTGAAGACATACGTAGAGTTGCAAGCTTTATGCATGATCGCTGAATTTCTTCTACTGACGCATTTTGTGTGGATTTGCAGAATAAATAATAATATCTCATCGTTTGTTGTGAGTAGGGTGTGTTTTGCAAATAAATTTTGCAAATATTTCAAGGACTTTTTAAACAGATTTGCCAATAATATCATCTCCAACAAGTTTTTATATCGGACATTAATAATCTGAGCTTAATAATATTGCAAGCGGGTATTTAAAGTTTTTAAATATTGTTCATGAATTGTTGATATCGCGTCCCAACAATTTTCGAGTTTCGGGGATAGAATGAAAATGCTCTCTTTGCAGAAGGATTTCAAAACAATTATCCCCAAGCCTTTGGGAAGCAGAACACGTGTTTCATTAAGTATACATTACATGGGATAGGAGCCATTAGGTGATTTCATTTCATAGGATAAATGGCAGAGTACCTACATGCATATGAACTCGTTGAACTTGTCTCATACTTAAATAGGCACGTAGTATTTACATAAGCGTACGTAAAACTTGGAAACGACGGTTGGCATAGGTTCCACTCTCCCAATTGTCAACTTCAATTGGGTAAAATCTAATTTTTAAGCGTTCTGAAGAAGGATATCTTATCGTAATATCATATCCATGCAGAACTTGAAGGCATAATAAATATATGCATAAGTAGGTTTTGAGTAATTCAATTCAAATCGTATGATTTACTCAGGATGGAAAAGATGAAGTTATGTATGTGATATAATACCACTATGAAAGCGAGAGTGAATTACCGGCTCTTTCGCATCCCTGAAGTACTTTCTCCTTAACGTAAAGGATGAATCAATAATAATACTTAATACCCTTTTAAGTAGGAATAAACAGACTTTATTCGAGTGAATGTTAAGATGTGTATTAATCCTGGTATTGTTATTGTTACGCTGAATATGCCGGAAATTCTAGGAAATATTTGAGTTTTTAGAATTTCGTGTTTTTAGTCCGAATCAGGGCTTATGGAATCAGAACTCAGATAACTCAGAACAGCGCGATAACTGGGTACTCTCCTAAATTCCTTAATTACGACTTACTTAATTGGATTTTATTCATTTTCCCAAGGATTACGAGTTATGCATTCCCATAATTAAACCGTGCACTTTTATTGTGATCTGAAGCGTCTATAAAACACGTTTCATTGTGAAACTTTGCTATTATTTGCATCACACTCGTTAACGAGAGACAAACCAAAGGAAAACTTTCGTGACCCTAATTTCGAACGAAAACCAGAAACTCACTGTCTCACTTGTTATATTAACACTAACCAACCATCCAGCTCAGCACCTTGCACACGAATGACTTTGGGAAATAAATCTTAATTTAATTGCAATTCACGGTGACTGGCATAAATCGCAGCATCGAATCGAATCAGCGAGAACACTGTAAAGAACCTTGAACTTGACTACTTGGAAATATTAATTTGAACCAATGATAACAACCAACCACAGTTGATGACACACGATCAAAAACCGAATAAGCAGTGCCAAAAATCTTCTAGACTTCTGGATTTCTAACCAAACCATGAGGGAAATTAACTCTTTTACTTACGTAACTGACAAAATTGAGGATTTACAAGAGTATAATCAAGTGTCATAGATTTTCTGGATCGTCAACTCCTCGAGTTTTATTACTTAGTTAGTTCACAGGAACGAGTGGCTGACACGATGGGAATTTTAACTCTAGAGTGCTGTTACTCTGCAGAAAACTAAAAGTGAAGCCACAGTGTCTGCCAGAACCACAAAAAACTTTTTTAACCCAAAGCGTAGGATAAGATATAAAAGTCAAACTCATCATTTCAAATAAAAAAAGTGAGTTACATGTCAACCAATGCGTGAGTGGTAGCATACATGCATGCAAATGAGCATGGAGAGACGCTCTGGAGGATGATTATAAAGGTGGCAATGACATTTAAATAAATTCAGGGAGCTTATAAGAATATTTCTGAAAATGACAAAATCTAAGCTATGCATGCATAACTTTATGGTTCGTATCCCAAAGAAGTATGTAAGTAACCTCTGTAAATTGTAAATTTGTGGTGAGCTCTGTACATATATGTAAAAGTGACGAAAGAAATATCCGGTTCTTTACCCACTGCTACAATTATCCGCGTAATAACCATAAAAGAGCGGAGAGGAATTTGAGATTTTTAAAAATTGCATGAAATGCAATATTATAAAAATACAGATATTGTAGGCGGATCATCACATTCTTCAAAAAGTATTTATAAGGTGTGTAAGGCAGAATTTGCACGTATAGAAAAGTAGAAAACTTCAGATCTGGTAGCTATTTTAAGCTACCTAATGGTCATATTTATGTGGAGAATATTCTACAAAAAGTTATAACAAGTTGCATATGTAACATATCGACATAAATACTTAATATGAAATGCAAGAATTTCGACATACTTTGAATGAAACTTTCTCCATTTTCATATTCCCTACAATTATCTAAGTGCTCTTGTGCTCTTCATTGCATTTTTGTAAAATAATTTTGCACGTAGCTCTTTAACTATGCCCACTTTTTCTCCATTTTTGCCAAACAAACTTTGACCGGATGTCGACATTCATTTTTGCCTTGTGAGAGCGCAGCAAACAAGCTACATACAAATTCAATATTTACTCCCAAAGTTCTTGATTGACGGTCATGTAGTAGTCTGATTACACGTATTTTCCCCTGCCCAACTGCCTAATGGTAACAATCTGCTTTCTCCACTTCCGTTGCAGTTCCGATAACAGGCAACTATTGAATCTCGTAAATCTCAATTGTCTACAAAACAAGTACACGAATACATTCCAGTTCCATCACTGTTTTACATAGAAGTAGTTTTGCATATTTTAAATATTAGAATTTATGCAGCACAAATAAAATGTTACATAATATTTTCGATAGAAAGATCACCGACATAACATTTTTATTTATTTATCCTGAATTCGGCTGCCGAAAACAAGCAAACATTTCAAACAAAAACGTATCCCCTTTATTAATTCCCTCACAATAAAACTTCACACCATTAAAATATGTATCAGCTCAATTGTGTGCAAAATCTGTCCTCAGGATAACCTCATTATCAACCAACTTTGTCGACTTGTGCAGGTCGTTATTACACTTGGTTGGTTATATAGTTGGTGAGTGAATACATAATTCGCTCGCCTACATACATACTTATATTTCGTAACAAAATTGTATGCACAATACAACAAGTCAGAGTTGGACGACGGAATTTAAAACCAGACGCTGGCTGCATGAAACTTTCAACTTTCACTCTGAAATTTCTCTACAAAATCGCATTTCATTGTTTCCCCTCGTCTCAAATTTGTCCGTCCCGTCTTCTTTCACCTCCCTAAAATTTGTTCACCTTTGTAACTTACAAGTTAAGACTTTGTTAAACGATGCGACTGCACCTGTTTGTTCGTTTAATGCCTTCTCACGGCTTCACCCTTATTTTATTTCTGGTATTCCAAATTTTAGACGGGCAAAATTCTAGAGGACGAAGGTGGTAAGATAAAACTGAATAAAATAAGAATTTCCTTTTGTCTACGTCCAACTGGGATTTCACTTTGTACTTTTTCCTCACCGTGCTCCTTGCTTTTTTTTGTTCTACAAGAATTGGCCAACCTAACGTGCACCGTGTCGTGACATATTCATATGCATGACGAGACTACTTTTCTCAGCAAGTAATTTGATTGTATAGAAGTGTAAAAAGATGGAATGCGGAATTGTTTTAGGTTTTCATCATCCAAATGTATTGTTCTTTTGGTGCATATGCATTCGTGGACAAAGAAGAGGATCACATCACACCCGAAATTCAAAATGCATAAAATTATTACTTTCATCTCACGACATGTGGTCATGTAAAGTTTTTTGGGCCAGGGTCAAACTAGTTTGACACTGGTATTTATTAATTTAGAAATAATCCTGAGATGGAAATGGCAGGTAAAATTAATAAGAAAATCAAAAATAGATTCTTACCTAATTGAGACGGCGTTGATAATAATTACACAAAAGTTGTTTGCAGATCAAGGTTTTTGTACGGAAAAATGTGAATGACATTTATTTTTTGAGTTATAAGTAATGGACTTGAATATAAGAATTTGTTTCGATTTCTTTCTTGCTGTAAGTAAATCCTGTCCTTTGGAACGTTAAGTACAAGACTGCGGCAGCTTTTATCGCCCCGTTCGCTTCTTTTTTGGAGGAGAACAGTGGTTCGTGGTGGCTGAAAGTGGACGACTGACGGGAGTCGCAGTCGGGTGCACGGTATTAAAAGCGTCTCCGTGAAAATCAAACTGTATGCTCTTTTGTTCACTTCAGTTTAAGCTCAACCAAAGTAAAACTGAGATGTAAAAAAGTACATAACATGGACTTGAAAATGTATTCAATACAGATTTTTTTTTACAATTTGGGCCTTTGGGCCTGGGAAAGCTGCTGTTTCGAAATTTTCTAAAGACGTCCATCAATCTGGATCAAAGCTATTTTACGTCATCACCTCATAAATCCGAGCGTGTCACTCTACTCCCACTCATTTCTACCTTGTGAAGGTGCTCCTCACATTATTTTATTTTGCGAGTGGTTGGTTCATGACCGAAGAAATCGGGAAAATATCGTGGAGGAAAATGAATTCAAAAGCACTTGAATAGAGGGTTAAAAATAGCTGCATATTATTATCGTTAATATTTTGTATAGATTGGGTAACACGAGATGTGTGCCAAATGAGACAGGTTTCAATTCACGAAAAGTTTTACGAACACGACTACCCACACGAGTCAAATGCAACAAGGTGAAAGGTACCACAGGTTGCCGGAAGTCAGAACGGAAGGGGATATGGTACGTGTCATTGATAATTTTATTTATATGTGGCTTGTTGATGTGGGGCCGATAATGCATGTGCAGCAACCGCCATTTAACCCGTATAAGTTACAGGTTACTTATTCTTCCGGAGAATTTGAGGTGAATTGATTATTGGAAGATTTGCATCAAAATTTATAACTTGAAATGGTTTTGGCCGTTATTATACCCTACATACATATTTAAAATTGAAAGTAATTAGATATCTAATTACAATATTGTAATTAAATTGTCTATAATTTGTAAAGTTAACTATAAATTAATTTATATAATTAAATTAAACTATAATTTAAGTTGACTAAAGCCTATAAATTATCTCAGCCTACACGAAAAATTTGGTAGGGAGAAAATTTTAACTACTTTCTTCCGCCAAACTAACCGCCAGAAGCTTATTACTCTCACCACAAATACAACAACCCCACACACCAATCCACCCACCCAATATAAAAATAAATACAAAAACTACTTTAGAATTGCATACAAAAGCAAGTTTATAAGGAAAATGCACGAAGAAAAAGTACATTAGACTGCACCACAGCACTATTGATCATTGCCCACCCGTCGTCCTTCTGCCTAAAAATGCAATAGGATACGAACGAATTACTTTCTCCACCAAGAAGAAAATTCAAATTACTTCTTCATCTCATCACCACCCACCCACCACGTCGATCGCCTAAACCATACTTACAACCAAAAACTAATAATAAATTTTTTCTCGAGAAGGAAAATTGAAAATTTCTCAATTTTCAATCAATAAATTTGGAGGAAAAAATTTCAGGGCAAAAGTTATAATTTCTGCATGCCTGAAAACGAAGAGATTTTATGAGCCAAGATTTTTTTGTGAGGAAAATGAGATTTTTTATTTTTTTACAAGATGAGATTTAGGACGAGATTTTCCACTCGTTTGCCATGACCGAGCTCCATCTGCACTGTTTCTGAGATTTGGTTGCAGATTGCTCCATAGAGGCGCCACCTTCTCTCCTTGGCTCTCTCATTTCCTTTTTCTCGTCGAGTCATTCACATTCACAGTGTCAGTATTTAATTTAAAATTGGTGAATCGCTGCAAAATTCGGGCTTTTTTGTACCAAGAAAACTTCAGATTTCTCAGAAACCAAAGTGAACATGGCTGCTGTCGCTGCGGAGCAGCAACATCCGGTAGGGAACAATATTTTTGAAAACGTTATAACGTTGGAGGAATAATCGTTATTTATTTACTAATGCGCATTTCCTGTTTTGTAGACTGTCGATGGAACTGTTGGAAATTCGATAGAAGGGGCTGAGAGGGAGGTTCAACCACAGCCTCATCAAGGTGGGGGAGGTTCGGGTGGCCCTGGCCTAAAACAGTACTATGTAGCTAAAATTGAAGAGTTGCAGCTGATTGTGGCTGACAAGACGCAGAACTTGTGTCGACTTCAAGCACAACGAAATGAACTAAATGCGAAGGGTAGGTGACCAATTTAATTATTAAGGACACAAATATGACCATTTAATTAACGAGAATGAGCCATTATAAATACTATTGTTTTTTTACGCAGTGAGAATGTTACGAGAGGAACTTCAACTTCTTCAAGAACAGGGTTCATACGTGGGTGAAGTAGTTCGAGCTATGGACAAAAAGAAGGTTTTGGTGAAAGTACATCCAGAAGGAAAGTTTGTGGTAGATGTGGACAAGAACATCGATATTGCCACGTTAACACCAAACAGCCGTGTTGCTCTCCGAAACGACTCGTACACAATTCATCGCGTTTTGCCAAACAAGGTAAATATTGACTAACGGACATAATAATAGTAAGATACAACTAAGTTTTAATTACTCATACTCTTTTACTTTTCTAGGTTGATCCTTTGGTGTCGTTGATGATGGTGGAAAAAGTGCCTGACTCTACGTATGAAATGGTTGGTGGATTGGACAAACAAATCAAAGAAATTAAAGAAGTGATCGAACTTCCTGTCAAAGTAAGAAAATTAGAAGTTTGTTAGCGTATTAATGTTTTACTCCATTTTCTATGTTTAATTTAATTTTATGAACTCTTAGCATCCAGAACTGTTTGACGCTCTTGGTATCGCTCAACCCAAAGGTGTCCTGTTGTACGGTCCACCGGTAAGATTTCCATTCAAAATTGAGTTATTTTACATTATTAATAATCCTAATTATTGATTGTCTCAATTTAATAGGGAACCGGAAAAACACTGTTAGCGAGAGCTGTCGCCCATCACACAGAATGTACTTTTATTCGAGTATCTGGTTCGGAGTTGGTCCAAAAGTTTATTGGTGAAGGATCACGAATGGTTCGTAACAATATTCTATCACACTTTTACATGTGTTTTAAATGCAACCTCAAAATTCAAAATTGAAATGTAACTTACTACAGGTTCGTGAACTCTTCGTTATGGCAAGGTACTTACATTTTTCAGCACAAATTTCGCAAAAAAAAAGATTTAAGCTAGGTGAATATATGCTTAATTAATTATTTTTCAATTGCAGAGAACATGCCCCTTCCATTATTTTTATGGACGAAATAGACAGCATTGGATCATCCCGAATTGAATCAAACTCTGGTGGAGACTCTGAAGTACAAAGAACAATGTTAGAGTTATTGAACCAACTTGATGGTTTTGAAGCAACCAAAAATATTAAGGTTATAACTTAGAATGCTTAGCATATAGTTTACAATTCAAATCATGCAACTAGATAAAACACATTCCTTTGTATAAACAGGTTATTATGGCCACCAACCGAATCGACATTTTAGACCCAGCTCTCCTCCGTCCTGGTCGTATCGACCGTAAAATTGAGTTTCCTCCTCCAAACGAAGACGCTCGATTGGACATCCTTCGAATTCATTCAAGAAGAATGAATTTGACGAGAGGAATAAACTTGCGAAAAATTGCGGAGACAATGCCAGGTGCATCGGGAGCAGAGGTGAAAGGTGTTTGTACAGGTAATATTACGTCACCCTCACATTTATAATTTTTAGCATGTGCTAAAAATAAATCTATATGTGCATATACATGATGAGTAGTACTGACTGAAATTTATTTAACTTTGCAGAAGCTGGTATGTATGCCCTTAGGGAACGTCGTGTCCACGTTACTCAAGAAGACTTTGAAATGGCTGTAGCAAAAGTCATGCAGAAAGACTCTGAGAAAAATATGTCAATCAAAAAATTGTGGAAGTAGTCATCTTTCTCTACAATTAACAATTTCTGTTACAATTAGAACTTTTACTTACAACTACCATCAACTATGCATTATAATTTATACATGGAGCGGGTACAGCCCCCAGAGATCTTGTTAAAATTATTATCACTAAAAAATAATAATTATTGCTTTCTCCGTTGGAAGCAGTAATGAAGCATTCAAAACCAGTGATTGATTGTGACTGCGTCATTCATTATTATTCCCCACTCAACCTGAGTTTATTTAATTATGTATTATTTTGTAGATTGTACTGTCGATACTTAATCCTCAAACTACTAATATTATGAAATTCACGGCAATTTTTTAGTACGATAAAATTTAAGTCAATTCAAAAATATGTTGCCGCAATTTTGACTACTCAAAAAATTAACAAGCAAAACAAATAAAAACTTTCAAAAACCCTTGAAAAAATGTATAGTTGCATAGAATAGTTTTATTTGGACACACGTAAATTGTAAGTTACATATATAGCGCAAAGTTTATACACATTTCTATAAATTCTATTCTTAAAGATAAGTGTACGTAATAGGTCGAGAAAAGTCATGAAATGCAATTTGGACACGGAATGTTTGTTGTTTGGTTGGTAAAGTATTACATAGATGAAGTCGTGTAGTCGTGTCATCGTATGAATTGATAAGTTATATTATGCCTGTCACGATAATGCCACTACTACTTTTGTGAGTTCATGTCCCACCAAAACGACAGGCGAGGGATTTGTCACAATTCTTCACCCGTCGTTATATCTTCATTGACCAAAAACTGGTAGATAAAGGTTGCCTTTTGCCTCTCCAATTTTGTATTATGTTTTGCGTTAGGGTTTTGATCACGAAGCATTACTTTTCCAAAAAGGAGAGCTACATAAAAAATGACACGAGTTTATAGCTACAACTTTTTAGAAAAAAAATTAAGTAAATTACCCAGTATTTTGGGATCCAAGCCATTTTTGGTAGAGAAAGTGAGCAGTTCTCTCAAGAAACAGCAGAGGTACAAGAAACAATTCTTATGAGCTGGGGGCAATTGTTTCACTAGTTGTTTGCATGCAGTATAATTTGATGCAGATTCTATGCACCGTAAATGCAGAGAGAATGGAATCACAGGTTCAGAAAAACAGTCCAACAGGAGTAACAATACTTCTGCGGTCGAGTCGATACTCCCGGCTAGGAAATAAAGATTATTTTATATTGCATATTTTTTTTAAACATTTATTTATTTGTAATTATTTACGCATTGGGGTGTTGGGTATATGATCCAACCAGTCTCTAATTGCCAAAACCTCGTCTTGTAAGCCCGATTGGGTAAATAAGTTTTCTTTTTCCATTCCATTTTTATACAAACGATCCACAAGAAACCTTTTGGAAATAATATGAAAAATGTAATAAATATTTGCATACAATAAATGATAATACGCATAAATTTATGTCGTACCACAGCTCCTTTGGAACATCATAATGATTCACGGGCATTTTTCCTTTCTCCTAAAATAATTTCGAAAAGGTAAAACTATGTCGCAGAGATGATTACAATGTGCATATAGACAAACCAATTCAATAAGTTTCCCAGCAGAAATATTCTTAATTGGTTCACTCATATTGACCAATGCTTGGAGGAAAAAATACAAAACATATATTAGTCAAACTTTATACTCTCTCGAATCATCCTATTCCACTTACATAATATTTACTATTAAAGAAACTACCTTGGATCGAACATCCAAACACGCTTCGCTCATAGTCTCCAGCAATCGTAATAAAAATATCTTTCCCGTTTTCAAGATGAAGTACTAAAATATCGTAAAGCGAGTCACGCCCAACATTCAGCGTTGATGCACTTTTCTTATCGACAAGAACTGTCAACTCGATTTCACAGGTCTCTCCTAAAACAATTTTAAAAAATTGCAGCTATTATTACACGTTATATTCATCCATTAAATGCAATAGTTTCACAATAAAGTATTTAGTCGTACCTGGGCTAATAAAACTACTGATTGGTACAATTTGGACCCAATCCTTGCAAATATAACTATCGTTGAGCTTTTTGATAAATTCCAGTTGAACAGGAACCTGCCCTGTATTGGCAACCGTGAAGGATTTTCGGACTGTGAAAAATGAGATGCATAAGTACACACGTAAAATAAATATTTGCTTTTACTTGTATAAATATATATATACCTGGTTCCAAGAATCTTATTCTTCCAAAGTGAATTTCATTTCTATTCGAATGTGGGACTATGTTGGGATTGGGAATGTCTACAGTTACTTGAGGGAGGAATTCATTCTCAAGTCGATCTAGTTGTTTCAAACACTCTTCGTAGCATTTTCTGTATCTAGCTTGGTTGATGACTTTCACTTTCAAGTCAAATGATGATGAGATGGGTTTGTGATCACTAAGTTTGTACTGAAATTGTGACGTGTAATCCACTTGGATGACATTATCCCCTTTATACAATATACGATCACACCAAGCCGGAGATCTGTTCTTTTCGCTTGAGTCCCAGTTGTCCGTCCCAGTATCGTATCTATACATATCGTAACATTGTCGATGTCACAATATGTTGTGTTGAGCCACAGCATAAAATTACTAAAATTAATTTACTTATAAGTAGGTCGGAAGTTGAGATTTCCTTCAGTAAATCCTTGAAACACATTTCCCAGTCTCATTTGGTCTCGAAGTTGATCATGCTCCAGAATTAGCGAGTATTTCTCCTTCTCAATTATAGCTTTTGCCCGATCTGCTTCCATTGTTGATGAATTGATTCGATAGTTTAGATCTCCAAACATGAACACTTGACTGCGTATTATTACAACACATTATAAAATTATATGAAATAACATCCACATTTATTTATCAGCATTGCTACTCACTCGTGATCTTTGACATATTTTATATCACCATCAGCCAGGTAAAAGAAAAGTCTTGAAGTAATCTGTTGATAATCCTGATTTCTTCTCTGATATTCTTCAACATGGGCAGCCAAATGACAATTTACGAAGCAAATGGACGTTTCGTGCAGCTCAAATCTCACAGCCACGCCACCTTTATTCCCCTGAAAGGCAAAAGCACGTACATATGTAAGAAAAACAAAAATCAAGATTTGTACGATCGATCCCAATAAATATGTAATATCATTGCACATCACGAAACGAGGTATAAATTGCAATAAAAATGTCTCAGTGCCATTGCCCTTGAACAAGTACCTAGCACAAGTACACGCTTGCTTGCGTAGCTGGATTCGTGTTTTAAAAAAAAGCTGGGGTGAAATTCCAAACGAAATGTGGTAACAAGAAAAATATATTCAATATTCATAGAGTATGGTTTCACTTTCATACCATTTTGTCCAAGAGACCCGGGCCAATAACTAAAGTATAAATTTATTCAATTATCACATTCATAAAAATACAAAAATAACTTAATTCCCTTCAAATTTACCCAAGATTGGTTCGAATCCCCAAAAAAACTTCACAAATTCACAAATCTCTTTCCATGAATTCGAATCAACAAGACTAACAGACACGCACTTATTCCTACATCAGATTCTTTATCACGAATTATATTACGCAATCCTAACAAGTATGCAACATAGCCAGCAATAATCATCTTCGCCTCAATCCGGTTCTTATCACCATTATCACACTTGGCAAGAAGGTAGCAGGTTGTGGTGGGTGCCTTAAGTCGGGGTGGATATATACATTCCGTTACTATGCCTAATTTTCTATCTTTCTCGACTTTCTTTCTCAATCTCTCTATCTCTTCATCCCTATCTTTCTCCCTCTTCTCGTTGATTTTCACGTACTCGCTAGCACCATCGGTCCGTTTTCCGTCTAAGCGGTTCCTGAAGTCTGGGGTGTCTGACCACCCAAAGTACCACATATTGCGACTCATTATGGCATACAAAAAAGCTTTCCCATCCTCTGGTTGTTGTTGTACTGCTGCTGCTGTTCCGAGTAAATACTCCCCATTAAAGGGGTAGCAGACCTCTGCCCTCTCCTCCTTTGTCAAGTGGCGACGAATCTTGAGAACCATCCCCAATTCCTTCAGTCGCACATCGATCTCACTTTCAAAACCGTAGCAGAGGGGGATTAGTTCATCCAGATTGATGATTGGTTGAGTTCCTGGGGCAAGTTTCATGAACAACCCTACTGTCTAAAAATGCATAATACAAATGTTAAAATGACAACTCATCAACTCAATATCGCACATTTCTTAATCATTTCACTCACAGACTCTAATGAGAGCTTCTTGAGAGCGTCATCCTCTTTGACAAAGTGGTGGAGTGAAATGGGTTTGGGAGTAGGACGGATTACAAGGCCTGTCGTTAAACAATAATTTTTCCAGGACGGATAACCATTGACTTTTTCACTTAAATTTAATTCCGCCGTATCATTCTTCTCCTGTTCGGATGCATTCAAACCAACCGACAATGCCATCTTCATGTTCATTTGCACCAATACGTCATTCCGATTATAGTCGGTCAATTTCACCACGGTGTACAACAGTTCACCTTTATGGTGCATGCATTTCGGCAGTACATCACTTGAGAGAGTATTGCTATATTGGTAGCACTCTGTAATAATATTGGCACAATATTTAAATGCACATCAAATAATAAACAAATCCATATGAAATATACTTACTCATTTCGGTACATATCCTACAAGCTGTATAAATGGCTACTCCACTGTGAGTTTTAGGTTTCTCTAAACAAAGATGTACTAGCCCGGTGGTGGGGGCCTTATGAATAATTAGACTCCACCCTGTCTGATCAATGACGGGGACACGGCCACCCTTTGCAAAAATTTGCTTAAAAAGAAGTTCCCTTTGTTCATCATTCAAACCCTTGTCTTCTTGCGTCAAAACCGGTTCGGGAGAGTCCTCAAATACATCGAGGTCAGAAAAAGAGGAGGTAGAGTCGATGCCCACTATCTCTAAAATTGTCCTTCTGATGTTATCCACTCCTTTATCTAGAGCATAAAAGTCAAGTATGATATAATGGAGATTTCATCCCTCCTCAAAAGAATAATAATAATGCTCACCTTCATTTATTTTTCCAAGTTTCATATCCGATATACCCACATACTTGACCTGGAACTCATCAGCCAAATCCCCCTCTCGAATAATAATCTCCCTTCCATCCCTGGGTCGTCTCACTTCTTCATCTACCTCGATTTCCTCCTGTTCAACAACGAATGACCACTGCACTGGTTGGAAAGTCTCATCATCTCGAGCTGTACTTGCGGCGGTGACGGACTTCCTCTTTCCTTTATCCTTTGTACCGGTTGGATTAAGTTGGCCAAGGGGAGCGAGAGGATCCTTAACTTTCTCCACAGGTAACAGTTTTGCAGGGGTTGGTGTTGCAGGGGGGGTCTTTCCCTTCTTTGCACTGCAGCACACAATAAAAACATACATTTAAATAATAATAATGGTGGTGATGGGAGGAAGAGGAGGAAACTAAAAACTGACGCTTTTTTTTGTCTTCAGTAGAAGGACCGGCGACTGGCTCCTCCTTTTTCTTAACCACGCGTGGTCTCTTCCGCTGAGACATTTGAAAATCTTCGTCGTCCAACCATGACCGTTCTCCTCCTTCCATAACAATTTAATCAAGGAGATAAATTTTGAAAACGTAGAGAAAAAAATAATACCGCTGCTAGGCTGGTGGTGAGTAGTGAAAGAAAGGTGGAGAGTTGGAGCAAATTCCCACTTTATCTTCAACTGTTGGCCGGGGGAGAGTAATATTTAATCCTGTTTTATAACTTTTCCCGCACAAATGGATTGAATTCATTCCTGTTGCAATTCTTTTGGAATTTCATTCTTAACATTGAATAAAAACACGAACGAATATACATTAACTTGCTCTGCCCTATGCAGTCAAGGCCAGTGGCACGCCAAGACGTTTTTGTTGGACTGTATATCTCGTTTCGAAATGTGCCATGATACCACATATTTATTAGATTTATCATACCATTGATTTAAAGAGACCCGTACCACACACTTCGGCCGACTCATTCTTGAGATCCTTTCGCAAATGATCTTTCACGTAGACAAGCATCATCATCCCCACCAATCGGACTAGCCTTACTTTCACATATTTTGCACCAGGGTGAAGCGCCGCTTTCACTGACTGCCTGAAATTCAACATTAATAAATAATCATGAAATGAACCCGAAACGTTCCTCTCCCGTTAATATCTGACTAACAAATTCAAAGCCTGTCTCATCAAATATCAAGACGTCGTACAATTTGAGGAGAAAGTGAATACGAAACTTTTTTTTACACTCATTAAGTGAAACACTAATTGCTTTCTCTCTCCGTCGAGCTTATCGCTTGATGACTTTTTACAACGGAAACAGTGACATTAGGGAGATAGAAGAAAAAACAGATTAAAATTATACACATACATCCACTCAATTTCTTTGGGGGTGTCGTTAAAGAGAAAGGCTTCCTTGCTGAGGTCCAACTCTTGAAACGCTATGGCGTACACGTCTGGTGGTTCCGGAGTTCTGGAGAGCCACTCGCGTAGACAAATGCTACCTAGATAATAATAAATAATAATACTATCTAGATAATAATAAATACTAATACCTAGATACGTAGACTCTCATTCCCAGCCTCACTTCCACTCCTATGCAGACAAATCAGCTGCTTATTTTATATGCTCCTCCAGCATTATATTTTTGAATAGTATATTTTTAATTACACTAATTCACTTAATTGACACCATGGCAGACACTGATAAGAATAAAGGGTCTGAAGTCTTCAGGGAACTGAAAAAAACTAGCAAATCGAAAGACAAAGTCCTTCAACTCATAAAAACTAAAAATACACATAAGTGTGACATGTGTGACGAAACTTTTGCAAAACCAACAGACCTTAGAATTCATGTCAAACGACACAGGGATGTTAAGGATTATTCTTGTGAAATATGTCACAAAACGTTTGTTACGGCTAATGAGGTAAATCAACATCTAGTGAGTCATTCGGACGAGAGAAAGTTTAGATGTATGCTTTGTAGTAAGGATTACAAGAGGTTCGTAGTTTATTAATTATTTCTATGCAATCTGTCTTTACCGATTTTTTGACCATTTACTCAATTTAAATAACTTTAGAAATAGGAATCTTTTGACGCATATGCGGATAAAACATGCTGGATCCTCTCAGATTGAAAGTAAGGCTTAGTTTGGTTATTTCTAGTTTGCAAATTACTCGTGTATATTTGTAGAGTCAATTTTGGTCCCGAGAAACTCGTACGGTGAATTTGACGACGAGACTGGTGCTTGCAAACTATGCAATTTTCTGCCTATAAATCAAGAATCCTTGATAAATCATAAATTGCGAGGTCATGTGGCTCTTCCTACTCAGGTTTATGCCAACACTGGAAACCTAAAAATTGGACTGCGACCATTTAAACCGGAGGATTATTACGGTAATATTGAAAATGATAAAATGTTGTCACGTCTCGTACATACTTTTAAAACTATTATTCATTTGATTTGTTTGTTGTTTGTAGAGAGTAACGGGGGGCTGTTCGCAATAATAATGAAGATTTGGGCTAAAGACAATGTCATCGGGATAAGCGTCAGCAAGACGACGTATGGGAATACTGTTCTTGCAGCCAAAGAAAACAAAAAAACCATGAAGTATGCCACTCGAAACAACGTCACAATGTTCAAAAAAGCCTGTTCGTCCAGAATTCTCCTCCCAGAAGGATTTGAAGTGATCTGCGAGGAGACATTAACCGTCCCGATTCCTCCCTTCCAAGGAACCTTGTGCAGTTCAAACGGGAAGTGGGTGGTGCGGAACATTCTGCAAAAGGTTTGCGTCGACACCTTCATGCCGCCTGAAGCCATCTCTTATTTGAAAAGGATGACCTCGACACGATCATCACTGCGGTGAACGAGTTGGTGAACTCGTTGGCCATTGGTGACAAGGAGCTGGTCTTCATTGACGAAGTCGAGGAAGGAGACCGTGAACTCGGTGAACCAGTTTTCAATGGTGTGGGTAAACTGGACGGCGAAGGGGGAGCAAGATTAGCAAATTGGAGGAGGAGGTGGAAATGCTGAAGGGAAAGTTGGAGGATGAAGCCAGAGAGAAGGAAATGTGGAGGGAAAAGTTCGAGGAAACTGTGAAATTGGTGAGTAAAACTCCTTTAATTATTAATAATTAAATAATTAATATGAAATAACGAATTTGAATTAGATGGTGTCTGTGAAGAGAGAGAAAGCGGTGCTACTGCGGGCTAATTCTACAAAAAGGAACTATATTTCTGAGGACCCTGTTTCCTTCTCCAACAACCCGGTGAAGAGGAAGAAATAAACTATTATTTACACGATCGTGTACTTCCACGTAAAGGCTTATCTCTACATCCCATTCACTCACCTACGTTATACAATAATTAATATTTGTTATCTAGTTAACACAGAAATTTTGTATTTGTTCGGATTTGTCCACCATTTGTGTAGTTTTCCATTAGTTCAGTACTATTTGTAAATTCTATTTTGAAGTTTCAAATATAAAACTCAATTTACTTACCCGGAGACTGGCCATTTACATTCCACGATGCAATAAACACTGTATATCCCTGGAGATCTATGAATTGCTCCTGCTTCCTGTCCAGCATGCATTTTATAGCGTGGTCACGGCCTTTCATGCTGGTCATCCCCTTGGCTAACGACTCTCTTTCATAGCCAGGAACCGTGTACTCATCTTCTTCAGGTTCTCCTTCACTCTATTGAATTAGAAAGAAAGAAGGCAACAATGTTAAATTGACCAGCTTAGCAATTAGAGTAAAAGGTTCCTTCTAGTGCAAAGGGTAAAGGTATATTGCACGTATTGGCACAAAGAAACGCTATGGCCAACCACGTATTGCTGTATAAAAAGCAATACTTGTCTTTCTCTCGTCTATCCTCATACCGCACTAATTCCATTACATAACTTGATTGTGTCATCAAAATACTAAAGATCGAGAATGCGAGACCTTATGCTTCTTCTTATTTCCCTTGGATTTCCTATGCCTGGAAGAACCCGTCTTGGAACGGTGGATGGGACAGCCTAGAAAGTAATTCATGGGCATCCAACGTGTGGGTGGACAACTTTAACTAATGAAATCTGTTTTCTGTCTCATCATCCAAATTGCAATTATGAAATTCAGACCTTTTCCATACTACTCACTAGAAATTTTGAAATGTAAAACTTTTTACAACTATCTACTACTTATTATTGCGAAAATTGCGAAATTACACGTTTCTTACTTCAACTGAAAGATCTCCGGATAAACTATCTGAAATTGTATCCATGACTTGGAACTTGTATGTTTCGGGGAGCTGAGCAAATTCAGAGTAATCTCAAATTCTCAATGCTAATAAATCACTGCACGTGAATCACCGTACTTTCATTACGTGGTGTCACTCAAGATTCAATTTTTTCTCACACTTTTGATTAACTTTTTGAATGGGAAAGAATATGGCACACAAATTCAACCAAACTTTTTTTTCACTTGACTTACACTCGTTCTTATGAAATCGTCAGTGAGGGAGGAAAGTCCAGGAGGAAGCGGAGTTGGTCCACCACCACTGAGTGAGTACTGGAAGGGAAAGCAACTTTTCACCAAATTCTCGTAAAACGGGAGCCAAGGGAAAGTCTTCGCCGACGTCCCGCTAGCAACTGCTCAAGAGAAAATTACACCGTACAAAAACTCAACTTTGGTCAGAGAGTCAGACTACCAAATTGTATGTAGTACAAGTTTTGTTCACTTTCTAATAGTTTTAGTCTATGGACAAGAAGGGTATCTCGTTTCACTTTTCCGTCGCGTGGTTAAGTAAATTTCCTTTCAGATGTGTGTATAACTAGAGGTTTTCTAAATTAAATGCAAATAATAATGAATACGAACGGAGGCAAATACTCATAAAAACTGCAACTACAACAAATTATATTTGCTGCTCTCGGTGAACTAAAACCCACCAACCAACTAAAGAAGTTTATGTGTCAATAGTAGTAGTAGTAAATACATTACCGAATTGTGGTCTGCGTAATAATGAACAAAAAGGGAATAAAATGCAATACTGCTATTATACAAGCAATGGTGGTAGCATAAAGCACGGTATAATTTATCCTGATGGTTGGTTTGGGTTTGGTTTGAATGAAGCAACAGGCAGACTCTCATCACAGTGAACTTTACTTACTCATCGTTTAACAAAATATGTAAGCGTGATGATAACCATACCACTCATTACAGTATTTTATAGTTATATCTTCATTCAAGTTAAACGGTGGTTCAGTATACATGTTGGCAGTACACGCGATGGGAATAATGAACGGAATGACGGAATTCGTGATGATGATGATGTAATTTCCACCATCAGAAGAACTACATATACGAAAATTAATCATGCAAAAAACTGGATATAACATACTTTTATGATGCAGCTTCAACAATTCTTTAAAGTTTTGTGATCAAACCGCACAAACGAATCAAGGAAGGAGCATGGAAAATTTGACTTTGTTACATATTTACACGAGGACTAAATGCGTATGTACATGTGAAATTTAGTAATAATGCCACCCGTTCAGACACATTAAATATTTATGAATGCTGAGTGTGCATTATTATACAAATCATTTTCAGACCTGCTGCCGGATTCGTAAATATTTCTTATGTAAATCGTCTAAATACAAAAGTTAGTAAGTGAAACCTCGCCTGCGACAAGGTGAATTTTGGTTGATGGAGGTGTACGTAACGTAAAAAATAAATATCTAACAAATATAAAATAAATCTGCTGACAAAAAAACTAATAAAAACGACCCGGTTGAAACCCAACAAACGTATTAAATATTTAGTTCAACAATATTCCAACTTACTTTGCGCTGCTCGAAAAACTTCATCGATAAAATTCTGACTACGATTTCCACTCGCGAGTGTGACAAGCATTGAAGATTCGACAAGACTAGGACTTATTCGCACACCGATTTCATTATCACCAAACTCACTCTCCATGTCTGCAAATTAGTAACAAATCAATACACCCGTTCACAAAATCAACACAAACTTTGTTACATACATGCATGGACACGGTTAGCTTACCAATCTCACAGCTAAATGCACTCCCATTCACGGAAATTAGGTGAACGACGTCCACGTCATTCTTCGTCAGGATGGGAGCTCGTCCGTCCAGAACGAGAATTACAAATTCACGCTCTTGTGGAGAAAGTTGGCCGGATTGTTGAGCATTTTCCGCCGTTTCGTCCCACACGGGGTGCTCCACGAGAGCAAGGATGCGGAAGTTATCGTTCCAACTGCACTCTACAGTGTAACTAATGCCAAGCCAAGTTCAGAGTTAAGGAAAATACATGAATCACAAACAACATATACATAAACGTAATATTTAGTATAAGCATCATGTAAATCTTATAATTTTAGTGTTATATGAAAAAGGATATCGATAAAACAATGTCTCCTGGAGCCACCAAGTCCTGCACGATTGAGTTGTAGTCCATGATTTGACAGTATTTGATCATCACTATTTCAATGCGGTAATCTGATAAATTCGCAAACTGGAAGGGTTATGGTCCGTGACTTGGGAGGAGAAAGCCGGGTGCTGCTGCTGCTGTTGTGACACTACCGCTTCAGATTTGGGCATCAAAGCCAACGTCCGCATGACACAGCAGGACAGCAGAACAAGTATTTTGAACGGCTCGTGGTTCGTGGTGAGATGAAGTGACGGACAGGAACACGGAACAATAAATCTGTTAATAATTGGACAAAAGCATACGATATACATAGAATCAGGCTGATTTGTTATTCACAAGCTGAAACATTACATTGAAAACCAATTAGTTTAATAAATCGCTAGCTAGCTATGTAATGTGTACATACACTCCAACCTCCCACGTATATATGGATTACGTATGTATGTAGCAAGAAGAAGGAATGACGGCAATAATTTATAATTTATTGCCCCGAATGGAAAATGGGGAAAGGGCTTGTTTATTTTCTCGAACAGAGCAACTCTAAAAAGTTTTATGAGTTTTTACTTATTCCTACTTCGCCTATGGACTACTTTTGTACATTGCAACAGTTTTGATGCACGTTTATTGCAAATTTGATGGGAAATCTTTTCCCTTCATGGAATGATAAGAGAGAGAGGTTTATTTTGCCAATGTTTACCAGGGTAGCTTACATATATACTTACTTTCCCTTTTGTCTATCCAGCCAGTTTTATTACCTAACCGATACATACATATCGATATATATGCACATATATATATCATACATACATACATACATATACCGGCCTGGTCAATAAATTGAGAAAGACGAGAGAAAACCCATCAATCCCAGTTTACAGGAGCATACATACCTTCACATACATAATATTCTTTCCAACTTCAACCCACCGTAGAATGACTATCACTCATATATCCAAAATTATTGGGATTACGCCGGAATACCGAGTGAAAAACGAGGCAAGGCAGGCAAATACAGAAAAAGCCTAAAAGCCTTCGAACTTTGTTAGAATTTTGTTAGATCTCAACCATCCAACGAAACGAGACTAACCCTGCCTCCCAGCATCTACCTGCCTGCACGAGTAGAAAAGGATGAACGGAGAAAATTATATTGAATTGAACTTTCTATTTCCATTCTACCGGATTTCCAACCACTATGCTAGAGAACCCTTCAACTTACTTCGCCTCCCCACTCATGGCATGACCTTATATCAGCCTTTTCGTTGTTTTAGTTCAGTCCTGAACTGAATGAAATGAAACGCTCAACTTTCATCCCGTTGAATGTACACACAATGGACAGAGACCGAGCTATCACGACGGCAGGCAGCCGACCGAGTGAACCACACACTGGCAGGAGACAAGACACTTCGGATGACACAACATTCTAAACACAAAATGCATAAAAGATAGAGGCGGAAAGAAAATAGGACAGAATGTGTAAATGGGAGAGAAAGAGAGAGAGAGAGCTGCAGCATAAGTAGAGGATGCCTACCTATCTATTTGGTGACTGAAAAGTGAAACAGGTTTACGAAGTATAAGCAGTAATGTAAACTGTTTTCTTATTCCCGAGTCAGGACACATCCGAGATTTCACTCACCCTTCTTCTACACTAGCAACTCTGTAATGTCGAGTGACACAGTTCGCTAAGACTTTCTCCACGAGAAAAAGTTGTGATTCCCCAGTCTAAACTTGAAACGTAAACAATATAATACCAGCATCATCATTAGGAGTAGCGGAAGCAACATTATTGCAGTACGGATAAGACTAAGGAGGTCACGCAAAGTCCAGTTTACCCAAAAAACCGCACACGCAACTTGCAGAATATTTCATCTACTTGCTACCTACCTTGCATATGTACGAACTTATAGTTAGTTTTCTGCTGAAAGACAGAGGAGAAAGGAGAAAGTCCGTGGAGAATTGACCATATCCGACTACAAAGGGGAACTCTCTCGCAATTATTCGCTCCCAGTTTCCATCATGTACTGTTGTACCATCTGGAATAAAAGTCAAACCTAAACTCATTTCTTCGCCCACGAACCAAACCAGCCAGAGCTACGACGAAGGAAGGAAAAGTAACTGCATATCAAATGAAACATTGGTGATTCTTCCTTATCTGAGTAAAACTAGCCGTAAAATAACTCTTCCCACTGATAAGATCCTACCCAGACAGAGACAGAGGAACCACTGTAGTAGTTGTTGCAGCCCCACTGATTTGTCTTTATTACCACCGTCAACTGCGACCAAAGGGAAAGTGTGAATAAAGGCAGACGAGAGAAACCGAGAGACTCATTTGCACTCGTAAACCGATTTCAGAAGAACGTCTCACTCAATTACTTTGACATTATTGGAGAAAGGAGGAGGAGGGTGGGACAGGTGAAGGGAATAAATCAGCCCTTTTTCTCATCCTAAAAGTGAAGAAGAAATCATGGACACGAGGGATTACGACGGCAATAAACAACACCAACAACAGGGTGCTGTTGTCACAAAGATGCAAAACACAGATTTGTCCGTATGGCTCAGAAGTTGCATGAAAGAGGCGAAGGAACCAGTGGAAGGTGTTGTAGCATCGGGTGAGTGAAATATTAACGTTGTCTCGATATAGTAAAGGAGAGAAAGTATGCAAATATATGTGCAAGTAAAAGTAGATTTACAAAACGGAGAAAGGAAACAAGACGAGTAATTTATTAAAATATGCCCTTTGGGATTTTCATACAAGTTAGAATACAAATTAATACCCAACCAGAAATGAAAGATGATACAACGTTGACCCAACGGATTTAACGTGCAGATTTTGCACTGTTGAAATAAGGTGCAGATTTTCGCAAAAGTCTTGTAATTTTAACGTTATATTTGTGTGATCATCACACCGTTATAATGAATTGTGCGAAGCACGGTAAACTAACAGTCGAAATTCACGTTAATTTTACTATATCGTTGACACAACGCTGAAATACCGTGATAAGTTCACGGTAAAACATGCACGAAGATTTAACGTGTCCTCAGCGTGAAATCAACGTGTTAAAGACATGACGCTGCACGTTCCCCCATTTTAGATTCCACCACTCCATTTCGCTCCAAATTTTCCACCACCACACCGGCAGCAGCAGAGCTCTACATTTACTTATTTAATATCTTTGTACTTTCCGAATTAATTATCCTGCTCATAAAATTTAAATATTTAGTAGTTTTTTTCCTCAATAACTGGAAATGAGTCTGGCTGTTATAACGAGTAAACCATTTGTGGTGTTAGAATTCCCCGAGGAGCAAACTGTTGAAGCAGTTCCAGCAATTTGGCTAACGTCTGACAAGACCGGATGTCGGTGGCCCAATAAAGTGACCCCTTCTTTTACAAACAAGAAAAAAGACAAGAATTCATCCCCTGGTGATGGTTGGACTGTCTACAAATGTCGAGTGCTGGGAGAATTTGGTAAATATTAATTTTAAGGTGTTTCATATAGTTTAAATTTTGTGTTTTATTTAAATTACTATAAGGAAATTACTTTGCAGATAACTATACTAGTGCCAACGCCGCCGCACACAAGGCGGAGGATACCTCAGAAATAGAGGTGTCGAAAGTGGACTTCTCTGCGGGAAAACGCACAAGGAGGACAACGCAACGTCCAGCGCGGTCATCGTCGTCTGATTGTGAGGACCTTGACAAACCAAGCCAGGCGAATTTGACTACCACAATTCCACAAATTCCAGTTTCAGTCTGTGAGCCGTATAATAATTTTATTGGTAAATGTTTAACTCTTAACAAACATAATAGCGTAACATTCATACTTATATAGTTCGGTGATTTGTAATATTATTATTTTCAGGAGGAGCGGTTAATGAACCTGGGGCTGCTGGCTCCTCGCAAAGTCTTTCATCATTGGCTGAAGACGAGAGAAACCAACTAAATTTTCAAACGGTGGAAATTTTGCCGAATTCTCAAACTTTCTTCATTGACTCCAGCGGAGTTTTATGCACATCTGGTCCTACAAAAAACGTGGGAACGTCAAAGTCGTCAAATTCAGGTTTTTCGGAAGGTATTTCGAAACATTTACGCACGATGTGGATTACCTACACATTTTTTTAATATTTCGTAGGCTTCCAAGGGGTAATCATTAGAGCGTTGGCACGTATTGAAGCCAATCAAAGGGACTTCCGTCAAATCCTGGACGAACTAGTCTTGAATCAACGGTCAGGGGCAACACCGCATGTGGAGGTGGATTATTCATCGCTACCAAAATTCCCTATCGAGAGTGAGGCCGACTTAACAGCATTTGATGTTCAATTATCTATTGATACGGAAAGGAAAGTATTTGTACGTTTTTATGATTTAATTTATCATCATGCTATATCTATACATATGTGCAACAGACCTATTTATTAATTGATTTTGGTAACAACTAACAGGAGCAGTACCTTGTTGGGATAGGAGGAACAACACTTCCTATTACAATCACCGAAATTTTGGAGAGGATATTTGCAAAAACACTACGGATCGGATTGACTTACACGGGCAAGGGCGATGGAAAAAAATCGTACATATCCTTCTCAAATATCAACACGGCTATCGTCGGTAAGATATTTAAAACCGCTTCAATAAATGTTATACTAGATATAAATAAATTTAATGCATCACTATTCTCCAACAGCTGCTGTGAAACGCAACAGAAAACTAGTCACGGTGCCGGATGATTTAGAGATTAAATCAATCATAATGGATAAGCTTCGATTTTGCCGGAAACCGGAGAAGAAATCGTCTGATGAATAATTGGAGAATAAGTTAATTTGCTAATTTAATTAATCTTAAGTCTAGATCGTGTAAAAAATTAATATGGCTTCTGACAGGACAAGATATCGGAGGATAGAAAGTAATGTACAGTTAATGTTAAGTGAAATGGAAACTGATGTACCAGATGTACCAGATGTAGAGTTAGGTCAGCCAGTAATTTCTAATGATTCATTATCTGAGTTACAATTAGTTTGTGATTCTGATTATGCCAACGGGATATGCTTAGGTTCAGATAAGTTATTAGAGCACAATATGAGTAATTTGAGTATTAAGGATAAATTAGCAAAATGGGCAGTAGAAAATAATATTACCTCCACTGCTGTGGATAGTTTATTAAATGTTTTGAGTGAGGAGTTCCCTAGTTCCAAATTGCCAAAATCATATAAAACTTTACTAGGAACTCCAACAAACTATAATATTTGTACAATAGCAGGTGGTTATTATTATCATTTTGGGTTACGTCAAAAGTTGCAAGTAGTGTCTGATAGTAGTTTTTGTACATTGTCAAAGCAGGGATTTTTCTCAATAACGATAGGAATTGATGGCGTTCCTATTAGTAAAAGTAGTAAGAAACAGTTCTGGCCTATTCTTGGTCGATGTCCTCACATAAGTAATAATATCCCATTTTTGATTGGATTATATTACGGCGAACAATCTAAGCCCATAGATGTAAATGAGTTTTTGGGGCAATTAGTTAATGAATTTTTAGAATTAAGAGCGAAAGGTGTAAATATTTATGGTGTTAATCTTGGAGTTAGGCTACGGTGTATCATTGCTGATGCGCCGGCTCGTAATTATGTAAAGCAGACTGCAGCTTTTAATGGTTTCCATGGATGTGACCGTTGTACATTAAAAGGTGCGTGGTTTGGTCGAGTTGTATTCAATGAATTTTCTTCCCCACTTAGAACAGACAAAGATTTTAACGACCAGCTAGATAAACTCCACCACCACGGAACTTCCCCTTTAGTTCCGTTAAATTTTGGTTTAGTCAGTTGTGTGGTGCTTGACTACATGCACCTTATTTGTTTAGGTGTAGTAAAAAAACTACTAAAATGTTGGAAAAGTGGACCTCTGCCCCATAGAGAAGGGAGACAAACAATTTTAATAATTTCTGAAAAGTTAGTTAGATTAAACAAATACGCAGCCTCAGAATTCAATAGGAGACCGAGATCTCTTTCAGAATTAGAATTCTGGAAAGCCACAGAATTTAGGAGTTTCCTATTGTACTATGGTCCAGTAGTTTTGAAAGATTCTCTGAGCCCCCAAAAATATAAACATTTTTTAAAGCTTAGCATTGCGACCAGAATTTTGCTTTCTAACAACAGATCTTGGTATCCATTTGCAAGACATTTATTTTTTGAATTTGGTAAAGATATGTCTACCCTATACTGCAAGGAATTTCTTGTGTATAATGTTCACTCTTTAGTTCATATCACTGATGATGCAGACATTTTTGGTTCGTTAGAAACAATTAATGCGTTTGCGTTTGAAAACGATATGCAAACAATCAAGCGAATGATACGAGGTAATAGCAATCATTTAGCACAGGTGATAAGACGTATAGGAGAAAAAGAACGTGTTAAAGAGAATGCAAAAATTATTGAGACAATCTCTAGACAATTTAAAATTTCCGACAAACCAAGAGATCGAGGCTTTATTTTACAAAACAATGATATTGTTGTAGTCATTTCTATTGAGGGACAAAAGATTCGTATGCGTAAATTTAAGGGAAAGTCTGATTATTTTACAGATCCATGTAAATCGACAAAATTTATGATCTGTAAAGTAACAGATCTTTCATTCACTTCAAAGTTAATTAATGAATTTGACATAAAATATAAGGTAATGTTGTTTCCCATAGCATGTAGTAAAAAATCAAGTTACATTTGTGTTCCTTTATGTGAAGAATAGATTACTAATCATAATTGACATGTATATTTACACATAGTTTATATTGTTATGTATTATTTTGTTGTGAGTAAGCTTTGAAATAAAAATATTTGGATATAAATATTTGCAAAATGAACGTTCAATTAACAGTGCATCACCGAGAAACCTACGATATACCATCGTGCGATTAACGTTGACAGAAAGATAATATAAGGTGCCATGCACATAAATTTTACCGTGCATTAACGTTGATTCAAGGTGTAAGTAACGGTGAAGTCACTGTGCGATTACCATGAAATGCACGGTGCGTGGGACGTTGAAAACACTGACACGATCACCGTGATTCAACGCAGATGAATTAATGTTATTTCATCGTTAAACTTCTGGTTGGGTAAGTTCTTCTGGTTGTGTAACTCGCGTGCTTGTGCAACTGTTGCACAAGCACCAAGGCTCAGAATTTTTTTATTTCTTGTAAAATCTCATATAAGCCGGAATCTCGTAAGCTCCGCAATTAGTTGAAAACTACACATATTTGTACACGGGCTGTTTTTCTATCTTATCTAATAAGAGATAGTTATGGCTCTCCTCTGCTACTTGGGAGAAGAGCAGTGAAGTGCACTTACTCGGCTGGATTATCTTATCTCTCTCTCTCACAAAATATATTACCCTTCCTGCTTTCTCTTTTTCCTTCTCTAGGAAAAATACCAATTTGGGTTTGTGGCTCCCTGATCCAAAACGGCCCAGGTGGAGTTGATATTTATGGAGAACATTCATGCAAACATTTATATGATGGGCCGGGACTTCTTCAAAAGTTTTTCGTGAACAATGGCACGGCCACCTACACCTCCAAGTTCATTGAATCTCATGCTTTCACTCAAAATATTGCTGCCCAGAAGCTCGTCCTCAGTGAGTTTGGGACAGTTGCGAGTCCAGACCCCTGCCAGACTATTTTTGCCAGGTATGCATAAATATATGTTGAATTTTGTCTTACTTACTACTAAAGTAATGCACTTAGCTCAGATGGATAAACAGGAAAATTAAAGTTGACAATGATATAAGACGACATTTACGACCCAATAGTCATAAATTTTAATGTGAATGTAGAATAGCAGCTGTGTTCTTGGGACCTGTGGAATTAACTACGTCAGATAACGCGAATATAAGCATCCACCCCTTTGGAAATGATATCTACGCACTTAGCGAGTTTCCCTTTGCCCACAAGATTGATGTCAACAACTTGGAAACTACAAAAACGGTACAATCCAACAAACGGATAAACTAAAATATTACAACCACTATGAAAGTATTTATACTTTATTTACGATGCATTTGTATATGTAAATATGAACCCGCAGATAAATGTCCACGAACAAATCGGAGTCATAAATCATTCCCCCCATCCTCAAATCTGGGGCAGGAAAATGTACAACATCGGGCAAAAGCTGAGTCTCTGGCACGGTCCTCACTACGTAATTGTCGAACTTGACACTGGACGAGGAGCTGGAGGGAATAAATTAAACAAAAATCGACGTCCATCCGGATCCCCGCAACATACCATTTACCGATCTCGATCTCCCTCCGTGGTCACCAATACAAATACCAGTGCAGCTTCTTCGGTAGCATCTTCCACCACAAATCTCACCAATTTAGCAACTCCCCCTCAGGACAACGACGTTCCTGATTTTGACAAACCATCATCTACACCGTCAAAGCATCCTCGGCCAAAATCAAACCCGTGGGCTCATGCGAAAATTGTGGCTTCAATCCCATCTCGCTGGCCTTTGAGCCTCTGTTACATGCACTCTTTTTCAATTACGAACAACTATTTTGTCCTGATCGAACAACCCCTCGCCCTATTTTTACCCACGGTCCCCTTGACCCAGATAGCAGGGAGTAAGCCGCTGGCATCCTGTTTGAAATTTTACAAAGAGGAAGACACCCTCTTCCATGTGATTAGTCGGCATGGTAGAGGGAACAAATTGAAAAAGAGCTTCAGATCAAACAGCTTCTTTTATCAGCATACCATAAATGCGTTCGAGACGAGGGACAGTGAAAGCAGGGAAACATTTTTGGTCGTGGATGTCTGCATGTATAGCGATCCTTCATTGATCGACTGCATGTATGTGGATACCCTCAAGGTAATTAAAATTCGTTTACAAGTACGTAAAAAAAAGTTCGTGATCCCGCATGAGAAATATGAAAGAAAAAAATTTGAGATTTCCGTGAAGTCTATTTATATACGTGAATACTTTCTCCAAAATTCACTAGCACGCCCCATGTAATCCAGATTATGCGAAAATGTTCCGAGGTCGAGCGAAACGCTTCCTCTTAAAACTTGGTCTAGACTATGATAAACATCACAAGAGGAAAACTGCTTCTGCTTCGGGTGGCCTGCTTGAAGTCGAATCGGAGGTAATTGTCGACATTGGATGCGAAATGCCGAGGATAAATGAAAATTTCAATGGGAAACCCTACAACTTTTTCTATGCAGTTTCTTCAGATAAGGATGGAGATAATCCTGGAACGGTACATAAATAAAGCTAAACTTTTCCCAAAAATATGTATGCTAATAAGTACAATTTTACGCAAACCTTTAGCTGATTAAAGTGGATGTGCTCAGGAAAACGTATGACACGTGGTGTGAGCCTAATTCTTATCCTAGCGAGCCAATTTTCGTGCAAAGGCCTAATTCTCAGGTGCAAATTAAAGAAATTTTAGTAATAAACTTTGAAAGCGATTTTTTAGCACATCTCGGAAATTCCCAAAATTTTTAATGTTACTTTTATAGAGAGAAGACGACGGCGTTGTGCTATCTACCGCAGTTTATGGAGGAGAAAGTGTGACCGGTCCTAATAAGACCAGTCTACTCATTCTAAACGCGACCACATGGGACCTGATTGCCAAAATTGATTTTAGCGTGGAAACGGCAATACCAAAATGTTTGCATGGATGGTATTTTCCCTGCAACGATAATGATAAGGATACCCCCACCACTAACAGCAGCAGTAAAGGGGGTGGAGGCGGAGGAACCAAGCATTTCCACTGACCTGATTATGAATATAATTATAATTTAATATTTATGGTGCTAAATATTTTCTGAGAAGCATTATTCTGTCTTCATCTTCACAAATCGACAATCTGTACCCTTATTACCCAAGAAATTCTCAGCTTTTCTATCTATAGGTATACAACCTTGATAATTTATATCTCTGCAAAATCTAACGCGCTTGTACATGTGCCAAAAAAGATGTATCCATTTCAATCTGACTTTATAATCCAATCAAAAGTATCCGACTGACCATGAATGAAACTTTATTCTCTTAATGCTCTTATTACTCATTATATTTACTCTATCTAACCAACCTTACTTAATTCTCATGAAGCACTACACAAACTCACTCAATTTTAAGACTCTTCTTAATAACGCTTGTGTTCTACTTATTTTGTAATTTAAGACAAATAAAAACTGAAACTTATCATTGGTTATTTATCATTAATAAAATTTTAATGCAAAGAATTTTATCATTCGAAGAAAGCGTAAATTATTATCATTCCTCTCTCATTTTGGATGTCATTACATGAAACTGAATGATTTTTCAACAACTTATGTAAGTATTAACCTTTAGTAAACTGACCAATTAAATTTAACCCTTCTCACAATCAGTATACAAATATTTACATCATAAAATACACCCGCTCCTGTTCTTAATCGGTCAGAAGTTGCCACAAACAATAGAAAAACTGGAGCAACGTATCCTGCAAGTGAAATACAAAACACTCACCTTTTTGCGCAACGGCAACACCGATCTCCGTTTTCTGTTGAGTTCGCTCCTGCCTTTACTGGAATTTTATAAATCCTCCTTCTCTCGTAATCTTTTAAAGCACACAGTTAAACTAAAAATTAATTAGCAAATGCACGAACAGTTCGTTTAACCAGATAACAGTGCACGTCAGACGATAAGATGTTATCCTCTCTAGTAAAGAAACACTCTGAAGAACAACAAAAATTGCGAGAGATTCAAGAGATGAAGAGAAAAGAGGCGATCCAAGCCGCAACTGAATTAACGAAAAATCTTGTCGACCATCTCAATGTTGGGTGAGGGGAGAAGTGATACTTTAATGTCGACAAAAAATTATCGTGTCGAAAAAATTAGCATTTATAATTGTGTACATTCTTCATTTCTTCTCCAGAGTGGCTCAAGCTTACTTAAACGAGAAGAAATTGGATAGCGAGATGAGAACCTTGACTCAAAATGCGCAACAATTTTCGAGGCAAACGGGGCAATGGTTATCTCTCGTGGATAATTTTAACACGGCGTTGAAGGAGCTGGGTCATGTGCAAAGTTGGGCGAAAGCGATAGAATCGGATGTTAAGACTATTACGACCTCATTAGAATATGTGTATGCAAGTGAGTGAAAGCTTGGTTTGTAGTTTATTAATTGCGATGAAATTAAGTAATCATTTTTTTCACTTTGGGAGTGTAGCTAAACAAGAATCTCCAGAGGGTGGGGCAGCAGGCATGTCGTCGTCAACTTCGAGTGGAGGACCAGCAGCGGGCCAATAATATGTAGTCATTAAATCAATATGATATTTTATTAATTCGCATTGTTTATAAATTAGGATACTATTGTTTGTTTTTTTGTACACGGAACAAGCATTTCATGCAATGCTGTAATTGACCTCTGTAAGTAAAATATTTACCTCAGCAATGAAATGAATTACGACAAAAGAGCATATTAATTAGACGTAGTACTATAACGTCTTGTTTTATTATTACTTTACACGCATAGCAATATAGCACGATTTTGGTCAATTCTAATTTCATTGTATACAAGAGATTTACATACGGAGGCAAAAAAAATCATTTCCAAAGAACTAAATGTCCAGGGTGGTGCCGGAAACGTCCGCAGTGATCGTGTCCCCATCAGCACCAGGTTCGCTGGTGTCCTCGTGGAAAAATGTGTCCTCGGCGTTCAAATGGTGATGACCCACTTTCCTCCAACAGCAAATGATCGTAAATGAGTCTGGTGCAAGCATGAAGGGTTTAGTCCCATCGGGGGCGACATATCGGTTCACGTGGTACTCGGACAGAGTTTCATATCCGTGAATGTCACGAGCTATTTGCTGTAAAGGGTTAAATAAATTGTGGAATTTGAGATGTAAAATTACCAAGTTTTTTTAATTGAATATAAACGAAAAGGATTATCTACCTGTGTTAAAGCATTCGTATTAGTGGTCATCACTCCAAAGAATTTCTTCTCTTCGGCCATTTGTATGACTCGCTCTTCCATGAACTGAATGACAAAAACGTTCTCAGACTCGTCAATGTCTTCGGAGGTTCCTGTGAGATTAAACTGATTACAAACGATATCCACCAAAAAAATTATTAGTATGAAAATAATTTTCATGGGTAATTACCCATCATGAAACTGTGGACTAATTTCCCTTTTCCCTTTGGAAGCTTTTCGCGTTGTCGGCTCTCAATAAATTCTGAGAATTTTGAGAATTATTCCAATGTGACCAAAAAGACATCAAATTATGCATGCATACCCAGCATTTCAAGGACATATCCGATTCCTTTGCTGGCTTCAATTTCTGAAGGTTCGTCATACACATCGAAATTTAAGGCGACAGCGACAGCTTTTTTGTCGTTTTTGCGTCGAATAATGAAGCTATTAATATTTTAAAATATTTTATACGTCATTTTATAAATTTTTAACAATTATATTATATCTAGTCATACGATAATTCTTTCTCCACAAGTGGGTCCCACACGGAGTTAATGAGTGTCTGAAACTCTTCATATGTGGCATCCGTGTATTTTTCGAGGTCACCATGATGCGAGAAGCTGTAGGCTATGATACTAAAGAAAGCAAAGCAATATTCTTAGAAGCTTAAATCTAATTTAAATTATTTACAAATTTAGTTTTACTTCAGGGTTTCATCATGATCATCATCCGTCAAATAACTGATCGTGTATGTTTTCTTTCCTTGCTCGAAAACGGTCAAAGCCATGTCTTCGTCGGCGTCGTCATCATCCTCCGTAATTAAGTAGGCGCTGTCAACAATGTCTCGGATTGTTCTCGAGTTCAAGAAATCTGGAATTGTGACATAGCACTTTCTCTCTCGAAGCTTTACAATGACCTGAATTGAGTTGAGAGAGGATCCGCCGACATTGTAGTAGGAATTGTTTAGATTTTCAGCGATCGTCTCCACCGCGGTTCCAGTGATTTCAGCCATCGTGGTCAACACCTACGTTTTGCGCACGAAGTATGTCAGACATAGATCCGAAGATGTTTTCCAAAATAGTAATAAACACTCATAAACTTACGACTTTTGCAACTTCACTCTTGGGCTCTGTGAAATCTAAAGTGTTCCATTCTACGAATGTCGTTCCTTGCGAAATAAGTGAAATATTTACATATACAAGTGTTGACCATATTATTTTGCTAATGTTTTTCGAAATATTAGACTCACTGTTTTCCAAATCTTGTTCATACATTTTGAGTAATCTCTGCCTGTCTGTTTTCCCATTAACGAGAAGTGGAACATCATCAATCACACGAAGAACAGGACGCTCATAATCTCGAAGACGGGTATCAACCATGGTTTTTATTCTATCCATATGCGTGCCACTTGCAGGCACGAGGAAAGCAACGATTGTCTGCGATAAGTTATTATCTATTATTATGAACTATGACCCCTACTTAAAGTCTTTTTAAACGAACCTGATCCTCAAGTCCGGGATGATAACACAGAACCTTCGCTTTTGAAACCAAATGAATGCCACTCATGACCATTTCGATTTCTGTCAGGTCGACTCGCTGGCCTCTGACCTTAAGCTGGGAATCTACTCGCCCTTCATACGCCAAGGTGCGAATTTTGCCTTGAGTTTCAGTAATTTTACCGAAATCTCCAGTTTTATAGAGGCGGCTGAATCCGTTCGTTTTGCAAAATGGATTCGTTATGAATCTCGAGTCTTCTGGTTGTCCGACGTAGCCTTTGGCCAAATTGTAGCCTAAATTGATCAAAAATTATAGACCAAAGTTAACGACACAAAATTATGTCTTCAACTAACCTCCGACATAAATTTCGCCAATTTCTTCCATTGGAGTCATGTCAAGTTGATTGTTCAAAATGTAGATGACCGTGTTATTGATTGGTTCCCCGATTGGGATGTGTTGTTCGAAAGTTCTTTCGAAAACTTCTTGCTTAGACGAAAATGAGACGTATGTCACATCTCCCATGATTTCGGTCGATCCATAAAAATTGCAGATTGTATATCCTTGTGGAAAGTATTCAAAGAACTCCATGACCAAATCTAACAAATTAATGCGTGCATAAAATCAACTGATTTTCCATCGTTTTCTAATTAAAATTTAAGTATTTATAGAACCTTTTGTCATCGTCTCGCCAGAACAAACCCACAATTTTACCGACTCCAACATCACTCTGGCATCTTCACCGATGAGTTTGATGGTTTGAAACATTGCTCGAAGTAAAGAAGGTACAAGGACGAGTCGAGTGATTTTGTATTGGTCAAGTTTTTGTATGAAAATATTTGGCTGTGTGGTTGTGGTTTTTGAAAGAATTGTGAGCGGACTTCCTTGAAGGAGAGGTCCAAATATCTGTTACCCATCATGACATGGAGGCCATTAAATTAAAATTTCTTCATGACAAAATTGGTAGCAAAAACAAGAATACCTCCGCCACAGAGTCGACAAAAGTCAACGACGTTTTAAAAACGCATCTATCTTCCGGAACAAAGGGAAAATTTTGCCACTGCCATTGAAGCCGATTCATGATGGCCCTGTTACTCAAACGGACCCCTTTCGGTTCACCAGAACTTCCTGCATGAATATCAGCACATAGATTATTAAAAAATCACGTCAAAAAATTGTATCGCCAAAAATTAAGTACCCGAAGTATAAAGGACAATTGCCGTCCTTTCTGCCATTGATTGAGACGAAATCATTGGAGGAGTACGCCGAAGATCATCCACTGAGATTTCTATCTCGTCCGCCATTTTAATGAGGTCTGCCGTATTCGTCACTTTAGTGAGGTCTTTCACGGCATCAAACTTTGACAGAACATTGGTGTGATGATCGGAGATTATCAAAACGGGGCGAGCGTCCTGACATAAGAAATTTATCATTAGAAATAACATTCGTTAATCATGAAAATTGCGCATCCGTTGTGTCAAACCCTGGTTATTTTTATGACTCTCTCCTCCGGGAAAGATACTTCGTAAGGCAAGTAGGCAGCTCCCAATTTCATGATGGCAAACAACGTAAAAACCAATTTGTCCGAAGGTGGTCTAGAGGAAGACGAAAAATTTCGAAAAATTTATTTCTAGTCGAAATGTGCAGTTACAAGGAATTACAAAATAGTTAATATTAGTAATAACCCTACATGCACACTCCAATTACAATATCCTGATCCGGATTCATATTTCGATAGTTAACGTGTATAATTTTTCGGATAACCTCCGCCATTCGGGCCGACACTTCATCCAAGTGTTTGAAATTGTGGATCTTTTCATCATCAAACAATGCAGTCTGGAAGGGAGCGATTCGTTGCGAGTCGCCAAACCCAGCTTGGAAATATTGAGCCAGAGAAGCATTTCCGGGGAAGGTTTGTACCGGTCCCTCCAAAAGACGATGGAGTTTGCCTGGGACAAAGTTTGCATTTTTTTCAGATTCACATTTTAAGTATTTACATATAGCAAGCCATCCCAACACTAACATTGACCCTCGCATATTTTCCTGAAGCGTCCGTACTGGTCTAAATTCATGATTTTTGATGGTGGATGAAAGTTTGAGATGTGTCGATGGGGTAATTTATTTTACAAAAAAAATTTGGGAGCAAATACGTTACAATTTTGGGTGGAAATTTTAAGCTTGTAAAAAATATTACGTAATTGATTCTCGAATTTCCAAAAATTAATAATAATGCCGATAAAAATTACTGTTTCCATACAATCGACCCATATTTAGCATTTTATTACCTTCTTCATGCTCCGGAGATTCCACTACAATGTCCATCGTAGATAGTGCAGATTTTCGACCTAACTTTCTTCAATAAGTATGAAAGTCAACTTTACATGCAGAAAAAGTTGCAAATTGCAATTCCAACCAGCGAATGACACTTATTTTAATGAGAACTCCGACAACTTGTGGTTTTAATGCAAGGCGAAATTGATTTATGTAAGATACTCAAGTCAAATGATGCTCCGAAATAGAATTGGTGAATGGTTTGTGATTTTTTATTGTGTGGTTTGGTTTGATTCATTGGTCACAGTTAACTCGTTCAATTCAACTAATTCAATTTCCTCTCTTTCCTTGTTCAAATTCGCAATAATTTGCAACTCGCAATCACTCCATATTAAACGAGTATGCACACAACTGTATAACGACTTATCTCACAAATTGTCGTGAAAATTTGCCATAATATTGACTGTGTCCTTTCACTTGAAGCTTTAACATACTAAGGTTATTTACAGTGATGAAGGCAAACTTCGTCGAACATGTGCATACGCTACGCATAATAAAATTTGCGACAACATTGTCTGCAAATTATTTTAGAGACGAATGCAATGAAATGAAATGATATTGAGATGCAACCGGTTTGTTTTGCGAGGATTGCATTGTTTATGCGGCATGATAAATACGCGTCCCTTCAATTTAGATGGTCACAACACAACAACCTCAGATTGTAGTACTCAACAACCTCCTCATAATCCATGACACATTTTTGAACTGATGCCGATTTGCACACATGCAATCTAACAATTACTACAGGCTTAATTGCTAAAAGTATCATAAGAATTTTTATGGCGTGGTTGACACATACTTTGCCACAGTAAGTACACTACGTTTTCATTTCCATGTACTGATGTATACTGATTAATTAATTATTGGCATCCGCTTCCACTTATGCAACATTTAGTCAGTGTCAGGCAGCTTGATTAATACATAATTCATTTCGTTTCAATTCATAGCTTGTAAATTAGATGCTGCAAAACCCCACACTTCATATTGTATTGTGATTAATGATACACAGAATTGTGGGTTTGTGGTGCCAAAAGATGTAATAAAAAAGTAATAGTAATATGCAGAGGGAATAAAGATTACAATATCTTTGGTTTACAAATCAAGTGAATAAACGATAATAGGCTTTAATTGACTGATAATCTCGGGCCTTTCGAAACGGTTTTGTTTTATCTTTTGAGACGAATTTGTTTAGTTTTATCTCTGCAATCATGTCGTACTGGAGAACGTTGCCGCAAAAGTCCTGAAAATTTATGTTATATTTTTTGATGTGTTTTGCAAGTCGTTTAAAAACAGAGTTTTTTAAGTTTTTGATTCTATGTTTTGCATACTTACCCGAACTAGAGGACTCGCACTGATTATTAAAGCCCATGAAAATCCTCGATACAAGGCTCGTTGCATGGCTCCCTTCATCAATAATTCGACGAGGATAATGTTGTACTTTGACTCGACCGAGATGTCCGTCCCGATAAGGAAGATTTCGATAGTTTTCCCTTTTTCCTTGCTTATCGTAGTTTGACTTCATTTGTGAAAATTCGAAAACAAAATGTAAATCTTGTCTAAAATAATTTGATTTTAGTGGATATCAAGATCAAACTTACTGTACAAGCATTTCACAAGCGTCGATAAGTTCTATGTAGTATGACAATGGCTTATCTACAATTTTCCTCGGTCTATGAGTATATTTCGAATTTATGTCCATGCATAAAGCGACAGCCACAATTTTGCCATTGTTCTTATCAAAAGCGACAACGCTATTCATAACAAATTGTATTCTGAATGTGTACTGATTATAATTTATATTTACATATAATTAAATATACCTTAAGGCTTCTTTGACCATTTTATTCCACAAATATTCTAAATATTTTGCATACTCTTCCTGTGTTATGGCTGCAATTATGGAGACGGGACCTTTCTGGGCGTAACACGTGCTAAGTAAACTGAGAAAATTGCTCGCATTAAAAACAACATTTTCTGATGATAAGCGCAGATAAGCATGCAGAAAAGAGTATACTTGATAATTTTCACTTTATCCATATTATTTAAAGGGCCCAACGTGTAACGCTCGTCACCCAATTCGGAAATATGCATGAGCATGAGATTCTCAGGGACTGGATCCTTGCTGGAATGCACCATTAATTTGATTATATCCGCAATACTTCCGGCAAGAACAAAGTCATCAATTGCTGCATAAAGCGTGATTCAAAATATAATTAAAAGTTTTGTCTTGAGCGATGATAAGCAGGTGAGTATTGGAATATTACAAATTAAATATCCATTTTCACGACACACGTACACGATTAGCAACGCGTTTAGCGAATTTACTCCAATCTCCCATATTGAAGTGTGATAATTTGACATGACGAAGCGCAAGGTGAGACCAATGGTATCTATATTTTGTACATATTTATGTATGTACACATATAAAATATATACTAAACTTGCAAGGTTGTGAGTAAACTTACGACTTATCGCTTCAAATAGTATTTTTGCAGCCTGTTTTTCGCCAATTGTCATATTCAAAGATTTCCATTCTTCCGGAGTGCCTTTAATTATTTGCATTGAAAGAAATAAATCGTGTTCAGACACTTGATCCCAAATTAATAGTAAAAATGAAGACCTACTTTCCATGAGACGGAATTTGTAAAGTTTAAGCAATTTTTGCCTGTCCAATCGCCCACTGGGAAGATATGGGAGTTCACTCACCGGATAAACGTCTGGAACCATGTAATCTTCTAAAACTTTTTTTAACGAGTCGGTCAACATACTTTTTTCAACGTTATCCTTTAAAACGCAAAATGCTACAGCGGCCTACGTAAAATAGCGTTAAAAAATATTATGAACGCATATTTTTTTAATTTCTTTAAGGTCATGTTTAGCCTGGTGCAACCTGGTCTTCTCGATTTCGACGATAGCACAAAACAGCACATTCCTTACAAAGATTAGTACTTTCAACAGCAACGGCAATATTGTTCAGTTCTATTTCCTGTCCTTGAATTGTTATAATCATGTCGATTCGTCCTTCGTAATAAATTCTACATCCATGATTTCCATCAGTGTCCACTATTTTTCCGAAATCTCCTGTTCTGAATATTTTAACCTGGCCTGATTAATCAGAACAAAATATTAAATAATATATTGCGTAAGTGATATTAGTAGATTTGTAAATTTTGATGAATTAACTCGATTTTTTTACTCTCGGCGGATACATGATGAATCTTTTGGTCTGATCTTTATTGTTGGAATATCCGAGTGCCAAACTTTTTCCGGAGATACATATCTAACAATTGCATGAGTATGTATTTCCAACACGATTTTGGTATCTCCATGAAATAATTAATTGGATTACTTCTCCAATGGTTCCTTCCCGAACTATGTTGCAGTCCTCGTCCATAATATAGATCGTCGTGTTACACAGCGGAAGTCCAATGGACACCTAAATTTATGAAGAAATTACGAATTTACGAAGAATTTACAGGTGTATGAATTTATGTACCTGTTGTCCGTAAACTTTATCTATGAAATCCTGCTGATTCGAAAATATCTCCCAACTTGCTTCACTCATAGTTTCAGTACATCCATAGAAAACGACGAGGTTACAATGGGACGCTATATATTCGAAGCACTTTAAGCCGACCTGAAAACTAAGAATGTCTCCGCTTATGATGAGATACTTCAAACTCTCCAATTTCTGTGTATTTATAAACAAATCTAAATTGCAGGAAGTTATTTGGGTAATAAATTACAAGCCAATTTGATCAAAAGTACCTCTCTTGCCACACCAATGTCAAACTCTTCCATCGTGTTAAACATCAAATTTAAGCTGGTCGGCGTCATCGTTATCCTCGTGATCTCGACTGATCTTATCTTTTCCAACAAGGCGATCGGTTTTGACATGACATGTCTCGCAATTATGTACAATGGAACCCCACCAAGAAGTGGGGCAAATACTTCGGCAACACTTTCTGCATCTACGAGCAGGGAGGAGAGACAAGCGACGGGCTTGTCGTAGAATGGAATAGCTTTGTATTGCCAGTAAAGTCGATTTAATATTGACCTGCATTGCGGAAACTTTATTTATACTGAATTATTAGCTTAATTACTGAATTAATTTGTTACATGTGTCCAATTCGCACGAATCGCGGTTCGCCAGTCGTCCCAGCGGTGAGCACGATTGCGGCGGCTCGACGCCACGGCGGGGCCAAGCTCTCCAGAGGGACGGGGTCGTTCGGGTCACCCTCAAAATCATTTGAATTTTCCACAATGACGTGAAGCGGTGCAATTTCACAGATGTGTTTGACACAGTCGAAACGTGACGTGATTTGGGGATCGGATTCCGTTATTATGAGCAATGGTCGGATATTCCCCACGATTCGGACAATCTGCTGTTCTGGATAAGTGGTGGAGAGTGATATGTAAGTTCCACCGAGCTTTAAGATTGCCAGCATCATGAGAATCGTGTTTTCCGTGGTGTGAAGGCAAAATCCAATGACTAAAGGTATCAAATTTCCGTAATAGTATTATTCATTTTGAGAAATATGAAATTTTAATATTGTCTGCATCCTAAAAATAAAACATTTGAACTTGCCAAGATCTCCATCAGGATTATTACTTGTCCAGTAGCCTAAAAGTCGTCTGAAAATAAGTCAAATTTTACTAATCGGTTCAGAAACCGAGTCTAAAAAATTTAACGACGACCGAATCTGCAGTACCACCTCATTGCTTTTGCGACCTTATTAGCTGTGAGATCCAACTGCATGTAAGTCCACAATGTTTCACCATTATCACCGATAAGCGCCGGGTTGTCGCCATCTACATCGCCATGCTGAATGAGATCTGTAAAGTGGTCCGTTACAGTGATATTTTTGGGCAGTTTCACATTTTTTCCGGTGATGACGCTTTTACGGCCTGGAAATTGAAACGTTTTAAATCGTTTCATATCATTACAGGATTGTCATTGCAAGATTTCATTATTACCCTGGCACAGTTGGCTGCATATCATTATGCGTTTAGTGCTAAATTATTATTTTTACTCTTGTCTAACGTTAAACAAATCGAATTTTATTAAATAACACTTTATTATACAAATCACAAGCAAAATTACAAAGATTCACTAAAATTTCATTCCCACCGATTCAAATTCATTCATTTTAAAACGTTTCGAAACCTAAGCAACATCGGAGATACTCTTTGTGTTGTGATAATACTTGATGCCACTGATCCGCTTGCGGTTCACTTGGTTGAAGTACTGGACAGGGTCCACAACCGTCATCGACGTGGCTTCCGAAGGGGGGTTGGGGTCACGTAGCTTTAGGTACAACGCCGCACAAGCCGCATTGTCTCCAGCTAAATGAAAAGGTTGGGATCCATCCAGCTCCCTGTACTTGTTGATTTGAAAGTCCTCAAATACTTCGTAGCCGAACACTTCAGTGCACAGGGTCTGAAATAGGGGGTTGAAAAATTAGGGTAAAAAAAGCACCGTAACGAGTATGTACACGCATACCCGAGAAAGCAGATTTGCCGTGGAATGAAATATTCCAGAGTATTTTTGTCGGGCTAGTTTTATAATTTCTGTGTGCAGCATTGTTATAATTTTGACATTTTCTTGAGCGCTGAGACTTGTGTGTGTCGCCATCCAGCATATTTCTAGCGTTTCATCTATTCGATGTGGTAAAAACAGCCTAGAATTTTGATACATTTATTGGAGTTATGAATCTGGTATTAAAACTTGTTAAAATTTGGATGGAATTATGCACTTACAAAATATTGCCCTTCACTTCTTGGTAAAATTCCATAATGTTGTACAAAGTTCCAGTTGCTTTCGTAGTATCGACAAGCTTAAAAAAATCTTGACAAATGGCAACTGCCCAGAAATCCGTACATAATAAAATTACCGCATTTCACGTTCAATATAAAATCGTCATTATACCTGCCACAATTTTGTTCGTCGACTTTTCGATTACGACGATTGACAGTTTTTCCTCTACATACGAAGACCAGGCTTCTGATAGAAAAGAATTCAATTCTTGGTAGCTGATCATATTGTATTGTGACAAGGCACCCTTTTCGCAATATCCATATGCAATTATGCTACAAAAAAGATCAAGTTCAAAAATAGCTTTCCGTTGTAAAAAAAATTATAACATTTTTTCTACTTGATCACTGCAGTTTTATGGCGCTTTCGGATAAGTTCGATATTATAAGTTTCCTTGAGGTCCAGCATGATGTGAAAGTTAGGTTTGACCCATTGTCCCATAACACAATCGTCAATTATGCTAGTGTCTGCTTCACTTTTATCATCCATTTTCCCTGGCTCTTCATTCATTGGTTTTTTGAGCGTCATCAGAGAAATGATCTCCATGAGGTTGGACGTAGTATAGAAGTCTCGCAGAGCTAGAGAAATTATGTAAGTAGTAAATGATGTGGGTGTAAATTTATTTTAAAATTATGCAAATAACTTACTGATGGGATATCCTCGTTTGTTGAGATACACTAAAAGTGGAATAGTGCTTAAAGACGTGCCTCCAATGTCAAAAAATGATGCCTTTAAATTCGCCACTGTTGTTTCGACGGGAATATACGCCATTCTGAACATGGCTTTCACCTGACATTTAAATTAAGTAGACTATTAATTTAAATCAATTAGATTGTTAATTTCGTTACAAGAGTGACTGCTGCCTCCATTCTGTCTCCTGGAACGACCAATTGTGTTTCCCATGCATTCGATCCTGTCACCAGAAATATGTCGATAAATGGAATAATTGATTTTACATATTATACGAATGTACGTGGTTCTCTCTGCTCTCGAAATTCACGAATTAAGCAGAAGGGGCAGTTATCATTGTAGTAATGCTTTGGAACTGCTTGGATTAACATTATATCATCAGGAATTGCCCATTCTGGGAGTTTGTTTCGAAGTTGTCGCTCAATTTCTAGAGGATGCGGAACGGAATGTGGAGAAATTCCAGGCTTAATCAAAATGAATCCTACCATTTCTTGTGTTGGTTTTCCTACGTACCATATTTTGAGATGATTACATGCATGTTTTCTTCACTTTAATAGATACGGGTACACGCACATACATACCTTTGTTTAAGACATAAAGGAAAGCATCCGCAGCATACTCGAGTTCTTCAAGGAATGGTTTCACATCATCGAGATGGAACTCGTGACCTTTCTGTCTGATCACTTTATCGTCTCTGCCTTCAACTATGCCGAATTTAATTAATAAGTCGAGTCGAGTAAAAACTTTCAATTTAAAATGGCTCAAAAATTAAATTACCAAATAGTCGTCTTCTACCATCGGTGCATTTAATTATTCGACCGTACTCTCCACTACGATAAATCATTTCATATCCTGCCATTCAAAATCAATATGTAATGCACTAGAATACTAATAAGTAAATCTAATAGGTAAACAGGTTTAAGTACTGTTCAGTAAATAAATACCTGCCGAGTCCTCATGCGGATTTGGGGCAAAATTATGTTTATTATCTTCGATACTGCCAGGATCCACGTAATCCATAGCGAGACACGCTCCCGAGATGCACAGTTCCCCTTGATGTCCATCAGATATGATGGCAAGCTCTTCTCCCAAGATGTAAATTTTCGAATTTTGCATAACTTTTCCTAGAAAAGTAGAAAAAAATTAATCTAATTCGAGTTATGTAACTGGTACATACTTATTTCTATATGTTGTCCAAGTATGTAAATACCTAATGTCACCCTCCCCAAGACTCGTTTTTTTACAAAATCCTTAACAGAGCGAAAAACATCATAAATCATGTCACCCGAAGTTTCTGCAGATCCTGTACAATTTCCGAGGGGAACGTTTGGGAATACTTGAAAATAGTGAGCGACCTACACACGTCGTGAAAGTTATTTAATATTATGAGATAACAGTTTAAACTCGATTTCATTATCACAAAATTGCTTACATCGACATGCCGAATATATCCCCCGCGACAAACGACATACTTGACGCACAATAATGACTTCATAAGTTCAACTCTATCATCCGGGTCAAGAACTTTCAATTGTCGTAGCACCTCATAAAACATATAGTGCGGAATAACCAATCGGTTAATCATTTTGCTGGCCACATCTTTTAAAAACTGCGTCACGTCTTTCATATCTGCACGCGTAAAGATGACAAGTGTGCAACCTTTCAGCAAGGCAGAAAATATTTGGGAAACCGAGTCCACTTGGGACACCGGAGTTGTCAAAGAACAAGACTGATGTTCATGTATGTCTAATTGTTTCCACTCGAAGATGCATCGATTGAGAATTGCAGCGTGGCCTATCCGAACGCCGTACGGGTTACTGTGAAATCCTCGAGTGTGAAATACCCCCGCTGGGCGAATAGACTTTTGAGATTCTGAACTTTCATTAAAAACTGACAGGATTTCACGTTTAATTGACGTTTTTCTGGGAACATGACCCGTCGGGATTTCCATTCTCACCCAGAGTTCTTCTAAACTCACCATGGAGCAGTACTCCGAAAACTTGTTGGCGTCATACTTATTGAATATTGGGCCGTTGTCGTCCGCGATTATGAGGACTGGGCGAAACTTTTCGATAATCTGTGTGCGGATTATGTGAGATTTAGCGAGATAATTAATATGGTAATTATACAGATAATTTGCCAGTCAAACTGCTTGGTCAATTACCCGTAAGAAAAGATGTTCCGGGTATTCTTCGTCGAGTGGGAGATATGCGGCTCCAGTTTTAAGAACGGCTTAATAAAAATGTGTACAAATTAGTTGTATGTATTGGACTGGAGTTTTCATGTTTTCATTTATTTCTTTACCCATCATGATAACGATCGCTTTCTCTGAATTGGGAATTATTATTGCAATAACTGGATCTCCGTCTGGGTTTCGAATTTGAACATCCATTCCAATGCGGTCTCTAATATCTAGAGCTAGTGATGTTGAAAAGTCTTCCAACTAATAAACAAAGAAAGTTATGGAAGGTAATTTATAACGAGAAGCATTAAATCTTGTCATTATTTGTCCGCACCTGATCGAAGGTCAAGTAATTGTCACAAAACTGGAGTGCATTTTTCTTTCCATTGATCTTCCCACTTTTAAGTAAGTTTTGAAAAACAATTGATATTGGTTTCTTGAATTTATCTTCAATCTTACGAGTCTTTCCACGCAAAACGCCGTCATCATGACCTGAAAAGATTTTATGATAGAAAATAATTTCCCATCATTTCATTTGGTAAAAAAACCATCACCTTCACAAAAACAAGGGACGCAGCCAAAATCTTCACAAGCCATGTTAATATGAGCTCATTTCAAGAGAGGGTAAAAATATTTTATTGGAAAATTTATGGAACACGCTGTTGGCTAGATTTAAGAAGTGTCTGGGTGTCTGGAAATTTGGAGAGAAAGGTCATCAAGGCAGTTATTTTCATGGTCAAAGTATATTTATTTGTGGGGTTGTCTAGGAGTTTATTCGAAGAAGGTGAGCACAAATCTACACGATTGGTTGACATTTAGTGCCCTAGTTGCCTAGACTGATAAAGTGTCAAATAATCTTGACTAATCTAATCTTACCAAGTAAGATTGAAAGCCGTTCTTGCAATGAATGATTTTATGTACATTTGTCTAATGTATATCTATATGTATGACCATTAACCATCATAAATAAGTTAATATAGGTGTGTAAAATTAATCGAATCGTGTCGAACTAGGCAGACATGCAAATCTAATTTAGATATTTAAACACATTGATAAATTCATTTAGACTAGAACTCCCATTTCAATTGATCTAGGATCACCGAAATCGAGATTTTCTAAATATGTAAATAAGTAAATGCAAATTTCCTTGCGTAAAAATTATCTTCTTAAATAAATAATAATTCGAGCCAAAAATAATCATACGCGCATAATGAAGAATCTTGCAGAGAATTTAAACATTATTGAGATTTATTTTGCATAAACCTAAATTAACATTCAAAAGTATTGAAAATTGTTCCTAATCGCCTCCCCCTTTCGGCAGTACTTTAAACTCTTTGCCCCCACTATTTCCAAGCATTGCGACGTTTGTAAGTCCACTAGACAAGACTTCAGTTTTGTCGCCAGCTTGTTTTGAAGGAGCATCCCCGCTGGTCGCGGCTTTGGCCTTCTTTTTGGCTTCGTCCTCGTCCTCGTCAACCAGCACACTTCCCGTCCCGACCGCCCTGTCCGCAATCCCATTTGATTTCACGACTTCCTTCGTGACCGCAACATTTTGAAGTACTTTTGGTTTAATGCCCAACAAGCCCGTTTTTAGCACGCCTGGTGCCGCACCAGCCGCGCCTTTTACTTCACTTCCTTCTGCACCTTCACTTCCTTTATTCTGAATTCCGTTAAGAAGATCGATTGGACTAAAATATGATTTTCAAGTTTTTGAAACTTTTTTTAAAATCATTAATACTTAAAAATTTGCATATGTATTTGTATTACCTGGAACTCACGGGTGACATAATGTGCTGGAAGCATAGCACGGTTAATGTCACACAAAGGAGCCATGACACAGGAAATGAGTAATATGTATTTTCTGTAGGGGAGAAGCTGAATTTTACTATTTGGAAAGGGTTCTTGTAATTTTGTATTTGTTTGAACGCACTTAGTTTTTCCATTTGTAAAAAAATTAGCCCTTCGTAGGTACTTGAAATCTGTAGTGGTGTCGTTTTTTTTTTACGCTGAATATACAAACTAATTTCGAGTTACGCGTTCATTGTGTAATTATATAAGGCATGGGAAATTCAAAACAATGGGTCGATTAATGATCAATTGTAATACACTGAGAAACACTAAATTGATTTTATTCATTAATATCGTACGGCAAGTATGTATGCAAGTTAAATGGCACGTATCGATTAAAATTGTGACGGATGTAAAGCACCTTACGTATTTATGACAGGGTGATATCACATGAGACGAAATGCCTCAAAACTTTATGATGAACGAAACTATTGACTAATTTGAATTTCCGACTTTTCTTACTAGTCCTGAAAATGTTTATGCATTTTCCTTCTAATTACATATATATGCGCAGTGAATATAATGATGATAACCACTCGTTAACTAAATTGGTAATGACATTTTCACAAAATACAGCAACTTTTTTTCACTACAAGTTCACGTTCGGGATGTTCTACCGCAGCAATAGCAGCAGTAGCCTTCCTCTTGAGCTTGAGGGTTTTTCGCCTTTGCTTAAAAATTTTCTCATGTTTTTGTTTCACTTTGTTCGCTTGTCTCCTAAGTATAGTAATTTTAACGACATATTAATTATGATTACTTAATTAATTAATTAATTTTACATACCTTTCTTGCCCATCCCAATTGGCGACCGGCCTCAGTGATCTATTGCGTTCACGTTTCGTATGGTGTGCCCAACACGGACAACAAGGACAACAACAACGACAGCATCCAAACGTTCTGGCGAAAAAGTACATGAGACAAATGCAACATCTGCAGCGACACTTCAATTTAAAATGACAACAAGACGCGAGCACTTGGTCTTCGTGGTGTCGAAGGCAGCTGAACAATTTCATAAAATTAAGTACTTGGAATCAAATTATGTAGTTTGTAAAGCCAAATTTTATACCAAAAATCACAACAGCACAACCACAAACAAGCAAACCAGCACTTTCTTTCTCCCACCAAGTGTTTTACATATTCTCGGAGAATTTCACGACGCTCAGCAAATTTAACGGCCATCATAGTTGATGAGAAGGGCATTGCCCAGTCCCGTTTTCCTCGAGCAAACGGTAGCCTCACTTTATTGGTTGTGGTTTCGATTTCAAACGGTACTGGAAGACACTGCAATGGTTCAGTTCATTTCGTAAATTTGTGTAAATTCGAATAAAATAATTGTGTATTTCACTGTACATCAGTTCGAATAAATCTTCTCAGGATGGGTTGTAAGGCGTTGAGCAATCGCTTGTGATAATTTTCATAAGCTTTTACTTTCGTTCTTGCTGCCTGAGCTTTAGAAGAAAAATGATAATTGAAACATGCAAGGTGAATAATATGTCATTAAAATTTGTGTTCCTCAATTTATAAATTTTTCGTTCCTCACCACGAGCTTCATCGATACAGGCCATTGTAAAAAGCTGGGAAATAAAGAAGAAAATTTTAATAATTTTGTTATTCTTGTGAATTTTTTTACGCATTTTAAGTGTTAATTATGTAATTACCCGAAATTCCGTAAAGTCCAAACTCTTATCTCCAGATACATCAAATTCCTCGAATATTCTGTGAATTGCAGACATGTCGAAATTAAAGAGGATTCCCATGTGTCCAAATTCGTCAGCGCTCACTTCACCAGAACCGTCGGAGTCAATCAATTGAAAAATACTTTTTGAATGTCGATAAATGAATTCTTTCTCATACGAGTCCTGTGCGTATTTAGAGATTGTAGATTGTATAATAGTTGCATTTTGAAATGTATAAATTTACAACCTTGCATGCAATCAAAATGCAGAAAATGAGGTAGAATTCATCAAATTCGATTTCTCCGGAGTGATCAATGTCCAAAAGGTTGAAGATTATTTCAGTCTCATAGTTGCTCAGGTTGGTAACATTTTTCATGAGAAGTAGAAATTGCACATCTACAGAAAATGAGTTGCCATTCTTTTAGTGGTCTAAAAATTATATGAGGATCTAGCAAAAATGTATTTATGATTCAGCCAAACCGTTGAGACGCTCTGATTTATGGACATCCAAAATATTAAACATTTCCATGCTGGTGAATGTGTTTTGAACGGAGAGCAATGCATAGCCGGGGTCCAAATGGATGTGGTTTATAGCTTCGCAGTCAACCTTCATTTTGAAAGCTGTGTAGCGGTGAAGACAATGAAATCTACTTTTTATTTGACTTCGCACCCACCAAATGATTAGTTATTTTCCAAAATTCCTTTCGTCTTCAGAAATTTATTAGGTTGATTTATGATTTTTGGGGGACCCATGGTTGCTTTTTTGCATGCAAACTTTTCTTTATTTTTTCAGGTTCCTTGGGTACTAAAATTCTAGATGAGGTGTTGAAAAAATAAGACAAGAAAAAATAAAATCAATCGGAATCGTGACTCGTGTGGGTGAAGCGGTTATTTTACAATAAAAAATAATTTTGCGACAGTATTTCAAAGTGAAATCGAGTGATAAATTCTGTCGAAAAAAAATGAACCCGAAGCTAAGAGTATTGGTACTAGTGGTCATACTGCTTTGGCTCATCATCTATCGATATGTTCAAACCAACTCATCTCCCAAGTCACAAACTTTGTCCGAAGGTCAGTATGATCAGTTTGAAGAGAAATCTCAACTTCCCATTCAAAGAAATCCTATTGAAGAGAGCTATTATCGCAATTTTATTCGTAAACAGTTTGCCAATTCAGAAAAAAGCTATCAGGTTTGTTTGGGTCGCGAGTCCTTATTATGTTATATTTATGCACTTATATCGGGTTACCAGCGTATGCATGTATTCTTGAAGACTACATAATTTTCACTCTATGTTTTAGGAGTATCGTCGTCGCCGAAGAGAATTTGTAGGATCTGATCTCACAAAAGTGGATCCGTGGTCAACTGAGAACCTCATGTTTTTCTGGGACTACTTTTTGCCACATTTTTCCTGTCCATACACGGTCCAGAGGATTGGAGGCCTGGGCGATGGGGGTAAATGGGTTTGCGGAATGGAACTCTTTGATAACGTGAAACCAATAGACGTATGCAAATATATATTTCTCAAATGCTAATCTTCAGGGATATAGCGATACCCATATAAAAATACCTCTCGTTCCTTCACTAATTTAGGGAAAATCAGAAGAACTTTTCTCAAACCGAGATCGTCCTTGCATCATTTATTCCTTTGGCGTCGGCGGAGATGTAGGGATTGGATATCCCCCACCCGACGATCCTACTACTCGGCACACGGAAGCCACCGTGGCCGAGTTCGACTGTAAAAAGGAAGAACCTCTCTCCAGCTCAGACAGACCGACCCGAGGATTCCGAGTGTGAACACCTCCACAACTCTTCTCTCCATATTTTCTTGCACCACGCCTTCTGCGTGGCTGCCATTTTGGAAATACATTATTATAAAAAATTAAGTTCCTAAAATTCATTTATTGTACACGTTATGATCGTTTAATGTAAGGAGTAAAGATTTCTTAAAACCTTGTCAAGTGAAACTTATTGTGTGCACCGATATTGAACAGTTTATTCGGGTCATTGTTCATAAAAAATCGTACATTGAGTCGTGCTAGGTGCAGTTTAGTATAGAAACGGTGCATAAGTGGAAATCGGAGTAAAAAAAAACAATACAGTATTTCTAATTGCCAAGCGAGAGACAATTCATCCTCCTCCCCGTGCGTCGTAGCTCCCATCCGGCTACCCCCCTGTGGCCAGTGAAGGTGTCCCGTGATCAGAAGCGTGTCGCATCCGTCCCCCAAGGACCCTGACGTCCGGTACTCGATGACTCGCGCCCATATTCCCCTACCGAGCCCACGGCATCATCTTCTCTCCGCCCACAGAGAGTCAAGTTTCGAAGCAGAATTTTTGAATAGGACAAACTGTGAGATTTGGGCTTATGATGCGTCAGTGGATGAGATGGGAGATCAAGTGATCACTCCCCACCCACGGGTTCACTTTAATAAAGTGTACATAGGACCCAGAGGAAGTGCAACGTTGGGTTCTCTCATGAAACAGGTTCGTTTACTTATATAACACAAATTATAATATTTAAATATATTTTTATGTATTGTGTCCTTGATTCTAGAACGGTCATCATTGGATTGATTTTCTCAAGATGGATATCGAATCTGCAGAATTTGATGTAATGGAGCAAATCGTGAATGAATTTGAGGTCCTCCCGTGGACACAGTTGCAAATAGAGATTCACGTAGACAATGCAGGTCAAATGTTTCCGAAGGTGTACAAGATGTGGGAGCGTTTTGAAGATAAAGGACTAAGAGCATTTAAGAGCGAGACAAATCACGCTATCTGCGTTTGGGGGGGAAAAACCCAACATGTACCGAGTACTCATTCATTAATATTAAGGGTCCAAGCAGATTACTGCCCAATTCATTATCTATGTAACTCGTATTTAGTTGCAAAGAACTATGCAAATATTTTATTCTACATTCTACTGTTTGAGATTGGAACGGATTTGGAACACGTGGAAGTTTTAAGGAGGAAATTTGATGAGTTTCAAGTAGATCATTTATAAAGTGATGATGTAAATTTAATATTGTAGTATTGTTTAATAAACACCTTTACATGAAATATAGAACAATGTGGTGGAAGCATATGCATCGATCATTGATCATCACAATTCACAACAAATCGAAATATAAACACATTGATAAGACTTATATTAAATTGGTTTGGGGAGTAGAGGAAAAATCTGATGTTGATGGGGTGGAAAAAATATTTTCTTGATTCGGTCTTATCGACAAATCGATTAAAATTCCTTGACAACCGTTGACCCAATTTTTCCAAAAAATCTGATGGCACAATTCCAGGACCCCTTGACTAGCAGTAGCAACTCGCGACTCTGGCAATTTGACCCCTCCTGCATCCCAATTTAGCGAATATCTGCAAACAATCGTGACAGCAAAATGTCCATGCCAAGTGAATCTCAGCGATGTCAACGAGACGAGTACAACGCTCCGCAATCTGGTGGGCCGTACGGGTCTCCTTGCTGTCCTGTTCCTCAACAATTTCGCGACTACTCCAACAAATGTTGCGACAACTGTCCATGCAGCAATGAAGAGGAACCAGTCATTTGCGATCTCCCACAACCAGGGCCGCCCTACGTTTACAATGATGTCGACTGCACCCTCGACTGTTCCAATGTGGACACCTCCGAGCTCGAGTTTATCCGACCGAACGTGGCCAAATATGGCCTCCTTCGTCACTCGATGGACGAAATGCGATGTCTGACCTTGGCCAAGGAGAATACTGGTATAATAATTCTGCATTTCTTTACATTTAGTCAAACATGCCGTTAAAATATCAAATTTTTCACACAGCTGCGGATATCTTCGCCCAGGCGGAGTGCACCCGCTATGAGGGGGATCGGGTCAAGAAGCAAGTCAACGAGAAAACCCTCGCTCTCCAAAGAATTTCTTCTGAACGCTTGAAACGCCGTTCCAAGGACATTTACTACTGGATGAAGGAATTGGAACGACTAGTTATCCAGGTGATATTCAAATCTCAACTGCTGGCCTAATTTGAATTTGTTCATGGTAAAAAATAAACAGACTCATAATTAATTTTGTACTTTCCTAGATGCGAGAGGAGACCCGACTTTTGGAGGAACTTCGTATCAGAAATGAAAACGCGATTCGTGCAACGGCAGATTTGATCCTGCACATTGTCAACGAATGTCTTCGCCGACGTCTCAGCCGGATTGGAATCGACCTCACTCGTGACGATGTGGAAGAAGAGTTGCAAAAGGAGCGGGACATGGTACTCTTGGCGCAAAAACGATTGGAAGAAATGGCCGCTCAAGTACGAGATCAGATTGGAAAGAACCGTGCTTCCAAAGAGCGTCTCGAGCGGGAGTGGAGTGACAAAGTGCAAGCATTTCGCATTGATGACCTGGCCTCTCGGCTTCAACCGGATGACCCGACCCTCATGAATTATCCAGGCGTGGCGCGTTTTCAGGAAGGGATGACCCCCATTGCAGAATGGGAGGAGATGACGGGACGCAATATGGAAGAAGCTGAACGAGGTAAAATATCAACTATTTAATAATTTATCATTAAATGTTCCATATTTTAGTAATGCATGGAGTCATAAATTATGACTATAATAGATTGTTGTAAATTTATATAGAAAGGACTGCATCGTGCAAGTTGAGAATGTTGATTCCAGAACTGCTGAAAAGTTTGGGTGGGTTTACCTTTATTCGAGCTATAATTATTTTGGAAGTGATTTGTCGGACGGCATGGATGGAAGCTATTTATTACATCCATGTAATTATTTTCCAGTAATTAATAACATTGTTTTTGACCCATGCATTTAGCTTGCAAACTTCGAGCCCAAGCTGACAATGTGGAGGCCGCCCTAAGTCGTCGAATTGCTGAGACCGAATCACAGAAGAAACGTTTGGAACACCAACTCAAACTAGTTTTGGATGAGATGGTGAAAGGAATTTTTTTTAGTTTTTATTATTTTCTTATACTTTTCTGTTTAATTTAATTTAGGTGAAAGCGGAGAAAGCCATTGAAGCAATTCGTCGTGCTCTTCGTGGCGACCCGATCGAGAGTGCTCTGAAGTTGGCTCAGACGCGTCTCTACAATCGAACATTCCGGCCAAATGTGGAACTCACGAGAGATTGTCCTCAGTTCGCGTTGATTGAAGAAGTCGGAGAAATCGCCCGAAGTCAAAGTTCCATTGAAGCCCAGCTTCGAAACGCGGAGGATGCTTTACACAAGCTGAGACAGATTCGAATTGATTTGGAGAAGGAGATTTCCGTCAAGGACAATACCATTGTCATTGGTAATAAATATATTTATCATGCTGTTCAGGAATGTACATGCGTAGAGAATGGTGATTGCACCAATGTGCATATGTTGCTTTCTCCCAGATCGGGAACGCTGTCAATACGTCCGAGCATTTTGGCCATCCGTTACCACACTTATTGGAAATTAAAAGAAGAAACTTTACCAACGAGAAATAATAATTTAGATAAAAATTTGATAGCTTAAAACAAGAGTATGAATTCGAATCGTATGCATGAAATGTATACATATGTCAATACAATGAAGTAAACATACTGAGATGAAATAGATACGAAATAAAAACAAACACATCTTTAACAATTACTTTACTTATTAAATGCATTTATTTTCCATTCGTATGTATTGTGTAGCCTTGCATATATTTTACTATTTTTAAGTATTTGTACATGTTTCTATATATAGAGCTGTAGAAATAACACGTCTCACAAAAACCTCAGATTTCCAACTCACAAAACTTTTTTGAACAAATTGAGTAATTCGCAGCTCTTTATGCACTTATCACCATAACTATAATAACTGTATTCCACCTTATTCATAGCCCCATAATAAAGCTTCAATAAAAAATATTGTACATCTGAACACACTTGCACATACGATAAGTACATACATACTGCACACTAAAATGAGCCTGAAATATAATATTCCGCAATGCTACATAATCTTCTTTGCAGCTGTAATTTTTTTAGTGGATAAGGTCCACGCTGGAGATGACAAGCCAACCGCTGCAAGGGAAGGATACGAACATGACGAGCTAAAAGAATTTGTAGATTTTTGCGAACGCCAGATTGAACTCCGAAATGATCCTGAGAGCATTAAAAGTACGTCAAAATTTATTACATTTCAGTATATTCACGCTCCAAAATGCTATGTCCTTTGTAAATTATTTTAGGAGACTGTAAGCGAATACACGAAAAAGATTTCCGAGATGACGATCTGCGGATGCTCTTTAGTTTGTTCGTCATCATTCTTTGGGGAGCGTTGACAAGGACGCTGTTACGGGTCCTCAAGCTGAACATCCCTTACACCGTCGTGCTCATGTTTTCTGGAATAGTTGTGGGCGTAATTGCTCGATATTATTGTCCTACATGGTACACTTTTACGGCTATTGCAAGGATAAAACCGGAAATCATCTTATTTGCATTCCTCCCTGTTTTGATATTCGAAACGGCGTTTGGAATTTCGTCCCATGTCTTTATCAAAGCGAGCATGCAGGTTTGTAGACATATTTTTATTAAGATAACTTTGAGAGTCATTCTTATCAAGCTTGATTTGTATTAGATTCTCATCTTGGCATTTCCTGGAATGCTTATTGCTACTGCATTAACTGTAAGATCAGATTTTAAGAATTATATGCATCCTTAAATTGCATCGCTTTTTTAATCTGCAGGCAATGCTTTGCTATCAATTTTTCTCGGAGTACAAATGGACATTTTTACAAGCATGTTTTTATGGATCAATTATATCGGCTACAGGTTAGAGTGCTAATTTATTAGAATTTAATTATAAAACTCAAGTTCAAGTTAAAATTGAAAAATTTCATTTCTAATTCAGATCCAGTCGCAGTGGTCGGCATACTGAAAGAAGTAGGAGTCTCGGAATCTCTGAGCGTTATTGTGGACGGAGAATCGTTACTGGTATTATTTGTATTTAACAAAATATCGTAAATATTGTGGATAATAGTATTTTATTATTTCATTCAGAACGACGGGGTGGCAATTTTGCTCTTTGAAATATTTCAAGATCGTTTAAAGGAAGACGAGGAACTGTCAAGTGGTCAACTTGCTGGAAATGTTATAATCATGTTTCTCAGGATTGCAGTTGGGGGTCCAATCTTTGGATATATTGCTGCCAAAATTGCAATTTTTTGTTTGGCACGAATTTTTAATGATGCGTAGGGATATTTAAATCAAAGTAAAAATGTGATTTTTTTAAAATTCTGATACCAAGTTTTAAACAGGATTGTAGAGATTACCATAACTCTGGTCTCTGCATACCTTACATATTACATTGCTGAAGATGTCCTTGGAGTTTCCGGCGTTTGTGCTGTGGTGCTTCTGGGAATTACCATGTCGTCTGAGAAGACTTGCATCAGTCCCGATATCTTGGAAGAGGTTCACGAATTTTGGGTACAGAAATTTATTGGAAAATTATTTATCTACTAAACTTATCATTTATTGGTGGAAACTTCCTTTCAATATTTAGAAATATACAAATTTTTTATCACAAAGCAACATTTTATAATTTCTTTTTACTTCAGGAAATGGCCGCCCATTTGGCCAACACTGTGTTGTTTTTTGTTACCGGAATTGTCATCTCGGAGCGAGGTTCACGAGATTTGACAGCAGTGGACGTGTACTACTTGATCTTGTTTTATTTTGCCTTAAACTTCATAAGGTTTGTCGACTAAGGAAAACTTTGGCATTTTTGTGATGACCAAAAAATCCTGTATTAAAATAGTTTTATTTATACAAAGGTTTTTAATGTTGATCGTCTTGAGCCCGTTACTGAGTCGTTGTGGGTATGGAATTACCTGGCAAAATTTGATCGTCATGATGTGGGGTGGGTTACGTGGAGGAATAGGAATTTGCCTGTCATTGCAAGTCTATGAGGACACTTTTTTCTGCGATGATACAAAATTAGGACCAAAGGTAGCATCAAATTACAGCAATTGAAGCTAATTTAAAACTTGAATTTAAAACTTTATGGTTTTATTGCACAACAGATTCTCTTTCATACGGCTGGCATCGTGTTGCTTACTTTACTGATCAACGGGACAACAACCAAGAAACTGCTCGAGTTGTTGGGACTTACGGCAATCACTCCTGGACAAATTGAAGAGATGCAACTTGCCGTTAAGCATTTGGGGGACACGCAGAAAAAGGGCGTGGCAATGTTGAAGCATGACCGATATCTTACAGATGCCAATTGGGATTACGTTTACACTTTCACGGCGATGAGCGATCCCTACAAAGATGTAAGTAATCTGCCATCACTGTAGCATAGTCAGAGTCTAAGGATAAGTCTGGTGAGGAATATTATTATGTGAGTGATATTCACCTTCTATTCCAGGCCATCGTTAAATCCAGAAAACCAAGGCCGGAAACGTCAATCCTGTCCTTTCACGACGATACACAGCAGCATCCGTGCCCCCAATGTAACAGTTTAGTGGAAAATGAACCAAGCAATGAGGAGTACAGGGTCATGACGGAGGAAGCACGGCTTAGAGTTTTGAAGGCTTTAAAAGTAACGCATTTTTTCTTGTCAAGTTTTGATTTCTCGATCAGTTGCTTTAAGACATTTAATGCATTTCTGTATGGTAGATCTCATATTGGAGGCAATTCGAACAAGGCGTATTGACTGAGGAGGCTGTGAAAATCTTGGTGGCAGGTCAGTTTTGAATAAAAATAATAATTTACTTAACATGTCACTCATTCCGTGTCTCCCCAGTGTCCGATTCATTCACCGACGTCGAGTTGTCCATGATTCACACCAAAGATATCCAAAAATATTGGCAAGTTCACGGCTTTGCTTCCATGCTCCGAGCAAAAATGATTGTTCAATTTGGCCCGTCTGGAAAGTTTTTGGATAAGACGCACGCAAAACCAGCAAATAAGTCTGTTCTTAAATCTTTTTCCATCGCATTTTTGTGCAGTAGCAAATATTTAATATTGTTCTGAACAATTTGTTCACCTTTCTGGTGCAGATTCCGTGTCCCTTTTTGGTGGATTGTTTCTCGGAATTGGTTTGACGCTCTGATGACGGTTGTTGTACTTTTAAATATGATCCCAGCCATTTGGGAATTTGTCATCGACATCAGTGCAGATGATTCTCATTGCGACGCAGGACGCAGTGTGTTTTTCATTCTGAACGTTGTATTTACGTGCATTTACAGTATCGAATTTATCTTCAAGGTCTGCTTTTTTCGTGTATTAAGAAATATGTATCTGTATATTTATCAAGAATCCTCTTCCTTACTATATAAATAATGCCACAGATACTTGGTTTTGGGTGCAAAGAATACTGGTTGAGCAAATGGAACGGTATCGATTTTCTAGTTCTACTCGTCGGAGTCTTGGATTTTATCCTGAGCTTGTACCGTTGTAGTAAAAAGTCAAAGAATAGTGGATTTACAAAAATTTTGAAGGGATTAAGACTATTTCGTATTATTCGAAGTGTTCGGCTAATCAAGGTTAGTTTTAACTAAAACCGGTTAATGAAGCAGGATTGTTTTGTGGTTTCAAGTACGTGACAATTCTTTTTTTTTTAAAATTTAGCCCTTGATTCCAGCAATCATTATATTCTTGAATGGACGCGTCAATCGTGAAATGTTTTTTGGCTATGATGTCGCAGTCGGATATCTCACAGGTTAGACTAACAAACTTGATATTTACGTAATATATTATAGTGTCTGTTATGTTGTCTCACAGCTATTGATGACGTGCTCAAGTACATTAATCAAATGATTGAAAATGCCCATGTCTCCAAAAAATTGAAGGGTCACTTGGAACGAGAACGACAAGAGACGCTGAAAGAGATTGGTTAGTTGAGATTAGTTAGAGATTAGTTAGAGATTGCATAAACGCACCTTTGGTGATTTTGGAGATTTTTTTCCTAATTGGAGATTTTGTTATCAGGGACGATATAATCTTATATGTAAATAGGTCTCATTCAACGAGACCATCCTGGAATTGCTATTGCCGTGAAGACTCGGCATGCAAGCCGAAATGCTCTAAATCAAATGCGGAATTCCTTAAATGACCTTCGGATGGATGGTAATTATTAATCAAACATAATAAACGTCTCTTTGTGAAAATTTAAAAAAACGTAATTTTTGCTGGATTACAGGATTGCTCGATGAAAAAGAGAACATGTTGCTCACTATTGAAATTGAAGAACGGATGAAGCGTCTATGGTCCTCGCCAAACTATATTGCACCCTCCTCACCGGAAGTACTCTTACAAAACTTGTCTTGGGTTTATGGGAACAATGATCTCAAGGATTTCGTTTTTGTAAAAATATCTCAATGCAAAACACTTTCTTCCCATATTTTATATAAACATTGTACATGTTGTTCCAGAGCAATGCGGAAATCGTGACGTTCAGCAACGGGGACATTGTCGCATCTGCTGGAGACGAACCAAATGGGATTTACGTAATAATTTCAGGCATGGTGAGAATCACCTTTGTTCCTACTAGGGCTGTGATGAGGGTAATTAAACATGATTAAAATATCTCATGATTAAAATCGTAGATAAACTAACTAACTCTAAATAATAATTAATTTAACTCGTTTTACGGTGTTTAGGACCGCGTCGAATACGGTTCAATTCCAAACGTGGAAATATTTCGTGACTTTGATTTTGATAAACAAGCCGAAGATTTTTTCACCTCTGGTACCGTCATTGGAGAATCCGGTCTTTTGACGCGACGACCCCGAAGTGGGACCGTGATCTGTGAGTCGGATGAGCTGAAGGCGTACTACATCCCGATGTCCATCATGGACCAAGCAATGGCCAAGTTTAATGATCCATACGACAGTCTTGAAGCTCGATTGTGGAGATCGTGCGGAATTCGGAGAGGATCAACTTTCTTGCCTACGACAAACTTTTACCAGGCAACTTTCCCTTATTTGTATTTTGCGATACTCAATCTCAATTAGTTTTTATTTTCATAGTCGTGGCCCAGTGACAAGGTGCAAATGCATCTTGAACGGTCTTGCGTCCCAATTGGGGCACAATTTTCAGTAATTGACATCCCAGCTTATGTCTTGGATATTTTTGTTATCGAGGGATACGTTCAAGATTACGTCACTGGAAATATGTTCATCGCACCGGCCTTGGTGTCGAGGGCGTGTACAAAATTGATTTGCAATGTGAGTAAATATTTTAAAATAGTGTGTTGTAAAAGGACATTTTGAACTAGATATTTCCAAAAATTTGTATTTGGATTGCAGGTCGACAATTTCAAAACAATTAATCGTATCTTGCTAATTACTCAAGACAATATTCCTGCTACGTCTGGAGACGAGTTGTCACGATGCATCATTGCATCCTACAACTGCCGGCGTGGCACTCCCACAAAAGATTCGGAAGGAGATGAATCAAAGGGGTTCATGATGCACTTAAATTTTAACACTCGTACGAAATCAGGTATGCGTTAACAGCCTTTCTCAGGATGCTGACAATTTATTTGTAATTCAAGGTCAAAAGAAGCGGAGACGAAGTACGTATGTCGAAGACGACGATAAAAACACAAAGGATGAAACAATTCGAAGGCGGGTAACACCCAACGCTGCTCCAAGACGACCGAATCCAGGGGACGGAGATGATTCTACACTGATATGAGACTAAAGTCATTTATAAAAGCAGAAGAGAAAAGTCAATCATTCCTCCAAAGTTATGAGGACAAAAACCTCATAAATAATTGTGGGGCAATAATGGTCAATCAAATATAATTAATTTAAGTCAGCCTCGAATGACTGCCAACGAATAAATTAATAGAGCTTAGAAAATCCACATACTAGCAGCATGTCATTCACTTCACTGGTAACCAATCACCCTTTGTATAATCTGACAAAAGACTATGCATCATATTTATGCCGCATGATTATCATTGACTGCTCTTTGGAGAAAGTGGTGGCCCTTAAAAGGGCCGTTGGGTTTTTTTTTGTGATGTGATGGATGAATGACAACTGTTTAGGCACGTTCTCCACGGATTCGGCGAGCGAGTTGGATGTCCTTGGGCATGATGGTGACCCGCTTGGCGTGGATGGCGCACAAGTTGGTGTCCTCAAAGAGACCAACCAAGTAGGCCTCGGACGCCTCCTGCAAAGCCATGACAGCGGAGGATTGGAATCGGAGATCCGTCTTGAAATCCTGAGCAATTTCTCGGACGAGTCGTTGGAAGGGGAGCTTGCGGATGAGAAGCTCAGTGCTCTTCTGGTAACGACGGATTTCTCGGAGGGCGACGGTTCCGGGCCTGTAACGATGGGGTTTCTTGACACCTCCGGTTGCAGGGGCGCTCTTTCTGGCAGCCTTGGTGGCGAGCTGCTTGCGGGGTGCTTTCCCTCCAGTGGACTTACGAGCAGTTTGCTTGGTACGAGCCATTGTTTGTTTGTTTGTAGATTGGAGTTGTTGTTCTAAAGAGAAAGATGAGACAGCGAGTGATGAAGATTTCCACCTTGGGCTGCAGTTTTATAGAGAAGGGCTGAGTTCTGAGCGAGAAAGAGGATTGGCTGTAAGTAAGCAGTGAAAGCCCGCTCGCTCCTCAGAACTCAAGAGGTCTGCTCCGCAACTCAGCCAGTTGGTATAAATTCAAGCTCGAATCCAACAAAGTTCATCACAAGCTGCTGATATCTCAATCTGAGAACATCTCTCTCCAAGTTCCAAAAACAAACTACTCATCATGTCTGGCCGTGGCAAGGGAGGAAAGGTGAAGGGAAAGGCAAAGTCCCGATCCAGCCGTGCAGGGCTCCAGTTCCCAGTGGGTCGTATCCATCGTCTCTTGAGGAAGGGCAACTACGCCGAGCGAGTGGGTGCGGGTGCCCCCGTCTACTTGGCTGCCGTCATGGAGTACTTGGCCGCTGAAGTCCTCGAGTTGGCTGGAAATGCTGCCCGAGACAACAAAAAGACCAGGATCATCCCTCGTCACCTTCAACTCGCCATCCGAAACGACGAGGAATTGAACAAGCTGCTCTCCGGGGTCACCATCGCCCAGGGAGGTGTCCTTCCCAACATCCAAGCCGTCCTTCTCCCCAAGAAGACGGAAAAGAAGTCCGCCTAATTCCTCAGCTTTCACAGATCTACTCGCTAACAACCCAACGGCCCTTTTAAGGGCCACCACATTATCCAAAGAGCTCAAAAATAATCTAGTACCGACATATTTAATTATGGCCATGCACTTCTTCGTTCATGCTCAACTTTTGCTTCACCAATTATTTTCATGCATTTATTTGTTGGCGAGAAATTATTGTCAACAAAGTAGTGCAGTTAGTTAATGATGTAAACTAAAATGAAACGGATGGATGAATGAGGAATTATTTTTCCTTGTGCATTTTGTACTTTTACAATTGAAATCAGTAATTTCGCCCCCTGAAATTCATATATGCAATGAATAATACCCCTTCGTAGTTTAGTTATGCTTGATTCCGAATCAGACTTGTGGATAATATGAAGGTAAGCTAACCTATGACCTGTCCCCAATAAGACTCATGCGTATTTTACATGTTTAGAATTTTATAAATGCATCCATATTGGATGTCGTCGCTCCAGTCTCACCAAAATTTAATATAATTATTTGTATGCATTAAGTAAACAAACTTGAAACATGTATAAATTATGTGAAATTGGTTAACGGAACGGATCAAGAATTATTTATTTTCAGCTTACTTTGACATCAAAATTTGAGTCAAAATTCAATCTCACTCTGCCTCAATTTTAATGAGTTGAATAATAAACATACCCCGGACAAATATTTTTTTATCCTACCCTACTCGTGTTGAGCTCAACATGAGTAGGGTAGGATAAAAAAATATTTTCCCGGGGTATGATAATAAACAGTGATTTATAAATCATAAATCTTTTTAAATCATAATAATAATCCAACTAATAATAATAATAAATAATAATAATAATAATAATAAATAATAATAATAATAATAATAATAAATAATAATAAATGATCAACAATGAAATAAATCGAGAATGAAAATAAATGCAACTATTTGTTTAGCTCTTTGGAAAAAGTGGTGGCCCTTAAAAGGGCCGTTGGGTTTTGTTGTTTTATGGAAGTTGGTCAGGTCATCGTCTACTTGGAAGAGGTGTATTTGGTGACAGCCTTGGTGCCCTCAGAGACGGCGTGCTTGGCGAGTTCTCCGGGGAGGAGGAGTCGGACGGCCGTCTGGATTTCCCGAGAGGTGATGGTTGACCTCTTGTTGTAGTGGGCCAGGCGGGAGGACTCGGAGGCGATCCGCTCGAAGATGTCGTTGACGAAAGAGTTCATGATGGACATGGCCTTAGATGACACGCCAGTGTCGGGGTGGACCTGCTTGAGGACCTTGTAGATGTACACGGCGTAGGACTCCTTCCTCTTGCGGTGTCGCTTCTTTCCGTCCCCCTTTGGCAAGTTCTTGGACTTTGACACGGCCTTCTTCCCCGCAGCTTTCCCTCCGGTTTTTGGTGGCATCTTGCAAAGTTGTTTGAGATCTGCTTGAATTGAATTCAGAAAATTGAATGATGATGGGTCGGAGACACGACGAAGCTTTTATATGCGGAGGCTGAGTTGTGGAGAACTCAACGGAGTTGTGGAGAATGGAGGGAAAATTTTGGGTCGAGTTGCCGAGAGAATTCATGAGTTCTCACTTGCGAGGGAATTCGAGTTGGAGGGAACAGAGAGGAGGAAAGTAAGTCTACCCGGTTCACCAACGTCCGCTCTCGATCTCGAGGTGTATATAACCAATCTCATTTCAGTCATCTCTATCACTCGTCAACTTTACAGCTTTTACAAGTTCACTCTAATTCTCATCAAATTATTTCAAAATGACTGGTCGTGGCAAGGGAGGAAAGGGACTCGGCAAAGGAGGCGCCAAGAGACATCGTAAAGTCTTGCGTGATAACATCCAGGGAATCACCAAGCCTGCCATCCGTCGTCTTGCTCGTCGTGGGGGTGTCAAGCGTATCTCTGGCCTTATCTACGAAGAGACCCGTGGAGTCCTCAAGGTCTTCCTTGAAAACGTCATCCGAGATGCTGTCACCTACACCGAGCACGCCAAGAGGAAGACCGTCACCGCCATGGACGTCGTCTATGCCCTCAAGCGACAAGGCCGCACCCTTTACGGATTTGGCGGTTAAACATCTCGTCCTCCTCCCATCTTACCTGATCTCGTAACCCAACGGCCCTTTTAAGGGCCACCACATTTTCCAAAGAGCTATAAATCAATCTACGTAGCATGTAATACATGAGTCTGTATTACAGACATGAACCATGACGTAATGAAATTGATCACTGACGATGCATTTTTGAATGCCACTGGTCAATTTATGACAATTATGATGAGATTCAGATTTTGTCAGATCATGACTGACTCGTATTCATCATTACCGCACTGCATACTATTCTAGTTTCCACAAATTAAATTCGGGAATCTTCGATTCGGTGGGAGAGAATCGTTTATGTCGGCTTATAGATTAGGAACCAATGACGTAAAATTAAAATCAATATGAAACTGCAATGATTCTTAATGACGCCCGATTATATGCGAATTGGGTCTGGGTGTGATGTAACATGTAACTGCTAAATTTGCAGATTTTTTATGACATTGTGTTATTGGAGACCCGTGAATCGTTTATGTCCGCTTATAGGTTAGGAACCATTACCAATGACCAATGAATGAACCAAAATTAAAATTAATATGACAAATCAATTCTAAAACTATGCAATGATTCTCTGATAATGACGTCCCGCTTGGGTCAGGGTTTATTATGATTTGATGATAGTTTCTTATTATCTCGACAGTAGATAAAACTGGACACAGATCAACGTATTTATGTATCAACCTAAATATTTAAAATGATTGCAGTATGAATTTTGCTTATTGAAATGTGCGTTCTAAGAGAGTTGTATTAACTGCGAAGGAAATCCTATACGATTTTAATTACGAATTCGTAAAACCAAGATTCTATATTCATAAACGCAAATGGCATGTCATCACAAATTCACAAATCACGGATCTACTGTAGTAGTTAGTAATTATATGTATTTAATTAAGTCATGAAGCTCTATGATAAAATCGCTTCATAAACTTCTCACTCTTTCCCTCCATGCAAGAAATCTTGCTCACAACTCAACCGCCACTGTGGCAACTCAGGAGGGAAAGCAGCCGCCCCGAGTACGTCGGCACTCTCGTATCCCCATCCCTTTATAAGTTCAGTCTCAATCTCAATAATGCCTCATCCTGCATCCAACATTGCTGTCTCTCTCACTGAAAGAAAAATCATCAAAAACAACATCATTATGTCAGAAGAAGCTGCGACTGCCGCCCCAGCGGCCACTCCACCTCCTGCGAAGAAAGGCAAGGCTCCCAAGAGTCCGAAGAAGGCTGGCGCTGCAAAGCCAAAGGGGGCGAAGGCAGCTGCGTCTCACCCACCAACTACGCAAATGGTCATCAACGCGGTCAAGTCCCTTAAGGAAAGGAATGGTTCTTCTCTGCAAGCAGTGAAGAAGTTCATCGCCGATACCTACAAGGTTGACACCACGAAGCAAGCCACCTTCATTCGTAAAGCCATTACGAAATTGGTTGAGACTGGAAAACTGACCCAAACCAAGGGAACTGGGGCGAGTGGATCCTTCAAAATTCCAGTCGCTGCTAAGGCTGCTGCTGGGGAGAAGAAGGCCAAGTCTCCAAAGAAGAAAACCACCAAACCCAAGAAAGCTGCTTCCCCAAAGAAGAAGGCCGCCCCCAAGGCGAAGAAAGCTGCGTCTCCAAAAAAGAAGGCAGCTGCGAAGCCGAAGAAGGCTAAGGCCGCACTCAGTGCCCCAGCTGCAGCAACATCTTCTCCAGCCGCACCCAAACCTGCTGCTGCCAAGAAGCCGAAGAAGTCTCCAAAAGCCAAGGCTCCAAAGGTCAAGCTTCCCAAGGCGAAGAAAGCAAAGTCCCCCAAGAAGGCGAAGCCAGCAAAGAAAGCTGCCCCGAAAAAGGCTTAAACATCATACTCTCTTCTGAAAACAAACTTTAAACCAACGGCCCTTTTAAGGGCCACCACTTTTTCCAAAGAGCTATGGTCTAATATTTGTCCTATTTTTCATGAATTTCTGAATTACACGAGATGAATCGAGCACAATGGCAATATTTTGCTTTCAAAACACTAGTGATTAAACTATTCGACAATTAATGACAAACGAGCTGGGATTGCGATCACGGCCGAACGGTCACCAACAAAATGGTCGACGCGCCTTCACCAGACGCCAGGTTGCAAAAATCCTCGTACCCACAAATGCTGCTTTCCCTCCAACCCCTTCGTTCGGGTGACAACGTCGCCATTGGCATTGCCTCATAATAATTAACTTCATCATCATCAATGATTTAATGATATTCATGTATGCAAAACTTATTAGATTTTCACACAAACATCACACAATGTAATTTTTATGAGAATCATTTCAGTTTGTATGTATTTTTCGTATAAATTTTTCTTAGGTGAGGCATAGTAACCATGACCTCTTGAAAAAATGCATGGTTACGGCGAAGCCTAAGTATGCAAACAGACCCCCCCTCCCAAAATTCCACTCAAGATTGTGGCAAAACGGCTAATCGTATCAAAATGGTGTAAAAGGCAATCGTGCAGACCTTGCTGGGTAGATGATGCCCGTCAGGTCTAGAGACTTGACAATCTTATTTTAACCCATTTTAAATCGATTTTAAACTTTCAAACGACTGGCAAATTCACTTTTCCCATGCAAAGGTTGTGACTCGTCCATGTTTTAATGTGCGGAAATCTATAACGCGTCATTTAAAACAAACCCGAGCGAAATCGGACAAGAAATGAAAAAGTTTTCTTGGTAGCATCTGCAGCCAGTTACGTTGCTTGTAATGTTTCTTCATTACTTATAACAAATACTCGTTTCTATTAGCAACCAGCACAATAGAAACATGTAAGCTCTGCACTTACATATGCAAATATCTAAACATGTAAATATGTATGTACATGTATGCACTTTTAGAAATCCAGTATTAAAATAGTACCAAGCGGTATTCAGAAATGACTACAAAAATGGTATTCATAACTAATGCTCTGACGTAATCATGTTTCGTTTTCTCCCATGTGAGAAAAATTTCACGGTGAAA